AGTGTTAAAGCAACGCATAATAAAAAGTAACACAAAAAATAAAATGCATATAACGGGGGAAGTAAGGTATGAAAATGAACGCTTAAAATTAATGCATAAGAGAAACGCGTAGAAATAACACATTAAAATAAATGTATAAAATAAGAAATGCGCATCCTAAAGCGTAACAAAAAGTAAGAAGTAAAAGCAACGCATAATAAATTAGACACCAAAAAAAAGGATAAAAGAAAGTAAAAGTAAAGCGTAGAAATCACTTAAGAAAGGTAAAACTGCGTAATAATATTAAAAGTGAGGCATACGAAAATCACCACTAAATCAAAAAATAAAATATAAAGCAGATAGTGTGTAAATTAAGTAAAAAAAAAAAAAAAAACAATTTAGTGGGTAAGAATAATGTAAAAAAGCATTACCTTTTCACGTTTAATTTTAAGAAAAGAAGCGTAAATATAGGGCATTAAGAAAAAAAAACCTAAAAATAACAGTAAATGAAAGCGTAATTAAAAAAAGCTAGGCGTAAGAGCATGTAATGCATTATAAACAAAAACAAGTAAAAGAAAGTAATACATAAAGGAAAAAAAGAAGTAAAATATAATAACGCTTAAATTTAAAAGTAACGTAGAAGAAAAATAAACGTGTAAATGTAACGTATTAAAAAAATGAGTCGTAAAATATCATACTCATAAAAGTAATATGTAAAAATAGGAGACAAGCAAGACAATTTAAAGCGCAGATATAAAAAGTAACTAGCAAAATATTAAGTTTAGGAACGCCTAAATGAAAGGCTTAAAAAAGTTTTTAAAGAAAGCGTAAGAAAGTCAAAGTGTAAAAACAACGAATAATAAAAAGTAACACAAAAAATAAAATGCATATAACATGGGAAGTAAGGCATGAAAATAAACGCTTAAAATTAATGCATAAGAGAAACGCGTATAAATAACACATTGAAATAAATGTATAAAATAAGAAATGCGCATCCTAAAGCGTAACAAAAAGTAAGAAGTAAAAGCAACGCATAATAAATTAAACACCAAAATAAGCGTAAAAGAAAGTAAGAATAAAGCGTAGAAAACGCTTTAGAAAGGTAAAACTGCATAATAAAATTAAAAGTAAGGCATCCGAAAAGCACCGCTTAATCAAAAAGAGTGTAAAATATAATATCGCAGCATAAATAGACTTATAAAATTCAAAGTGTAAAAGCAACGCATAATTGAAAGAATCGCAAAAAATAAAATGCATATAACGGGGGAAGTAAGGCATGAAAATGAACGCTTGAAATTAATGCATAAGAGAAACGCGTAGAAATAACACATTAAAATAAATGTATAAAATAAGAAATGCGCATCCTAAAGCGTAAAAAGAAGTAAGAAGTAAAAGCAACGCATAATAAATTAGACACCAAAAAAAAGGATAAAAGAAAGTAAAAGTAAAGCGCAGAAAACCTTTAAGAAAGGTAAAACTGCATAATAAAATTAAAAGTAAGGCATCCGAAGAGCACCGCTTAATCAAAAAATAAAATATAAAGCAGATAGTGTGTAAATTAAGTAAAAAAAAAAAAAACAATTTAGTGGGTGGGAATAATGTAAAAAAGCATTACTTTTTTACGTTTAATTTTAAGAAAAGAAGCGTAAATATAGGGCATTAAGAAAAAAGAACCAAAAAATAGCAGTAAATGAAAGCGTAGTTAAAAAAAGCTTCGCGGAAGTGCATGTAATGCATTATAAACGAAAACAAGTAAAAGAAAGTAATACATAAAGAAAAAAAAGAAATAAAATATAATAACGCTTAAATTTAAAAGTAACGTATAAGAAAAATAAACGTGTAAATGTAATGTATTAAAAAATTGAGTCGTAAAATATTATACTCATAAGTGTAATATGTAAAAATAGGAGACACGCAAGACAATTTAAAGCGCAAATATAAAGAGTAGCTAGTAAAATATTAAGTTTAGGAACGCCAAAATGTAAGGCTTGAAAAAGTTTTTAAAGAAAGCGTAAGAAAGTCAAAGTGTTAGAGCAACGCATAATAAAAAGTAACACAAAAAATAAAATGCATATAACGAGGGAAGTAAGGCATGAAAATGAACGCTAATAATGAATAAGGCATAAGAGAATCGCGTAGAAATAACACATTAAAATAAATGTATAAAATAAGAAATGCCCATCTTAAAGCGTAACGAAAGGTTAGAAGTAAAAGCAACGAATAATAAATTAAACATAAAAAAAAGCATAAAAGAAAGAAAAAGTAAAGCGTAGAAAACATTTAGGAAAGGTAAAACTGCATAATAATATTAAAAGTAAGGCATACGAAAAGCACCGCTTAATCAAAAAATAAAATATAAAGCAGATAGTGAGTAAATTAAGTAAAAAAAAAAAACAATGGGTAAGAATCATGTACAAAAAATTAAACGAGAAAAAGTAATGCTTAAGAAAAGAAGCATAAATATAGGGCATGAACAAAAAAAACTAAAAATAACAGTAAAGGATAGCGTAGTTAAAAAAAGCTACGCGTAAGTGCATGCAATGCATTAGAAACGAAAACAAGTGAAAGAAAGTAATACATAAAAAAAAGGCTTAAAATATAATAACGGTCCAATTTTAAAAGTAACATAAAAGAAAAATAAACGTGCAAATGTAACATATTAAAAAAATAAGTCGTAAAATATCATAACGCATAAAAGTAATATGTAAAAATAAGAGACACGCAAGACAATTTAAAGCGCAAATATAAAGAGTAACTAGTAAAATATAAAGTTTAGAAACGCCTAAATGTAAGGCTTAAAAAAGCTTTTAAAAACGCGTAAGAAAGTCAAAGTGTATAAGAAACATATAATGAAAAGAAACACAAAAATAAAATGCATATAACGGGGGAAGTAAGGCATGAAAATAAAAGCTAAAAATTAATGCTTAAGAGAAACGCATAGAAATAACACATTAAAATAAATGTATAAAATAAGAAATGCGCAGCCTAAAGCGTAACGAAAAGTAAGAAGTTAAAGCAACGCATAATAAATTAAACACCAAAAAAAGCATAAAAGAAAGTAAAAGTAAAGCGTAGAAAACGCTTAAGAAAGGTAAAACTGCATAATAAAATTAAAAGTAAGGCATATGAAAAGAACCGCTTAATCAAAAAAAGTGTAAATATAATAACGCAGCATAAAGAAACTTATAAAAGTCAAAGTGTAAAAGCAACGCATAATGAAAAGAAACACAAAAAATAAAATGCATAAATAAATTTATAAAAGTCAAAGTGTTAAAGAAACGCATAATGAAAAGAAACACAAAAAATAAAATTCATATAATGGGGAAAGTAAGGCATGAAAATGAATGCTTAAAATCTGTGCATAAGAGAAGCGCGTTGAAATAACACATTAAAATAAATTTATAAAATAAGAAATGCCCATCTTAAAGCGTAACGAAAAGTAAGAAGTAAAAGCAACGCATGATAAATTAGACACCAAAAAAAAGCATAAAAGAAAGTAAAAGTAAAGCGTAGAAAACGCTTAAGAAAGGTAAAACTGCATAATAAAAGTAAAAGTAAGGCACTGCTTAATCAAAAAAAGTGCAAAATATAATAACGCAGCATAAACGCGTAAAAGTAAAGCACACAAAAAGTAAAATCATAAAATTAATTTCATTATGAAGAGAGTAAAATTTGTATCGCATACAAATTGCAGAGGATGAGCATAAATTACGCGTAATAAAGTAAACGCATAATTAAAAGTAACTCGTAAAATGTAAAGGAAATTCTAGATTAAAGTAAAGAATGTAGCATTTAAAGCGTAAATGCAACGCATAAAATGCAATGACATTTAAATTAACGCGTAAAAGTATAAGTAAAGCATTAGAAAAGTAAAAGTAACCAGAGGAAATCTAACGCAGAAAGGAAGTCGCAAAATTTAATAACACGCAAAAAAAAGTCTTGTAATAACGTTTAAGAGTTACGAAACTATGAGAAATAAATGCGCAAAAGTAACCTACGAAGAAATAAATGTAACGTATAGAAAAGTGAAGTAAAAGTATATAACTTAAAAAATAATAAATAAACGTAACACATTAAATAGTAACGGTCAAAAACACGAAAATGCAAAGCTTAAAGAAAAGTAAGGCGTAAAACCTAATTATGCGTTAAATAAAACGTAACGTGTAAGAAGAAAAAAGGGAAAAGTAAAATGTAATTAAGAAGGAAAACAAAAGCAACAACAAAAAAAGTAGGCGTAAAAAATGCCTGTAACAAGTAAAAGTAACGCGGAAAAAATGTAAACGCGTGGAAGTCACGCTGCAAATAAAAGTCAGCATTATAACGCGCAACATTAATTTTAATGCACTTTGTAAGAAAACCCGCTCAATATAAGAAAATTCAAAATAACGCATAAGATTATTCAACACTTAAAAGTAACGCATAAGAAAATCAAACATCTAAAAGTAACGCATATGAAACAAAAGAAAAAGTAACTTATAATTTTTTCATGCGTTAAAGTAAAGAAGGATTGATAAAAATTCGCAAACTAGTTTACTTCGGTTTCAAATGTAGATCTCTATTGATGTGAATAAAAAGCTTTATTGTTTTTACGCCACTGAAACCGGTTTGCACTTGTTTACGTTCGTGTATCAATTGGTTAAGTTAGACGATAGGTAATATAATTTCGACGATTGGACAAATTAGACTATAGATTACATAAATATTTATTATATCCGGTATTATACTAGCATATCATAATATTTAGACCAAATTATTAGACGCATTGCAGTGTTTTAATAATTGCACGAGTGTAAAATACTTTTATATTCATATATACAGGAGATTTTTTTATATATTTCCTATTTGTATTTATTTTTAACTCATTGATACACGAACGTAAATAGGTGCAAGCTGCGTAAAAACAATAAAGCTTTATAGTATATACTGATAATTAAGATTTTACATAGAATCTTATAGTAAGTCTGATAATTTGTCCAGGGACTCTATTATAAATAGGTAAAATAGTGTATTTTTTATTACAGGATCTTAGAAAAAATAGATCCGTAGAAGTGATTGTTAAAATCGATAAGTAGCAGAACTATTTGGAAGACTGTGGTGCCTCAACGTTTATACCATCCTCGTCGTGATGAAGTTCTACCGTTAAGTGCTCGACTTCGAGCGCAGGTCATCGGACTAACAAAGCAGGGGAGCCATCCCCTCTGCAATGGATCAAAATTACGATAGTGTATGTCTTCGAATCATCCTCAGTGATGTTTGCCAGACGAATGCCCATTGTGAAGCTCTAGTAAATAAAGTACCGACCTACCTCAACGCCTATAATAACAAAAAGATATGAGTTGAAAGATTCTTGGACGAAACAAGAAATGTAGAAGATAAAGTGAATTTCGAACCATGTAGAAATACATCCTACGAAATATATTTTTAGAGAATTTTTTTACAGTCTTAATACTTTGTATATTTGAAATACGATAAAAAAAAATATGCTGTAACATGATTGAAAAGACCAGATTCAACGATAACCCTGATATTTAGGCTAAACCTTTGTATTACTAATAATATTGTAAAGTATACTTCATATAAGTGATTTTATATTCATGTATGAATTGCGAATAGGGCTAAGGCAGTGATGTAATTAAAAGATTATTTCGTGTGTGTGTCATTTTTACAACTTTTAACAAGGAAAAACTTTCGAACTGAGGAAAAAATAATTGGTGGAGACAGACATGTTTAGATAAGTCAAATTTTAGTGTAAAATTTAATTCAAAAAAGAAATTTGTAAAAAGGTCAGCTTTTGGGAGTAAAATACCTTCTCTAAAATAGAGGTGGCAGCTTAAGAGACAGACATATAGTCTTAGGAAACTAATAATGAGAGCTATAATTAAAATGAAAAAATATCTATGAAATAAAGTTCAAAGGTAACGGTAAAAAACACAAGTAATCGCTGACTGAATTTTCTTTCAGAAAATAAATGTAATATTTTCAATTAGAGAGGACAATAACAGGAGATAGGGGTTTCTCGTAGGGTAATCAGGAGCTTTTTAGTCAGGTTATTTTCTGTTGAAAAGAAAAACAATTTTTTAGAGAGAAAAAAATTAAGTAAATAATTTTTTTTTCTTACAAAATTCTGTATGCTTAAAACAACTCGATTTATTTACAAGAAAATGTTTTTCACCACTATCTCATTTATTTTAATATGCAGCACACGTCACCTTACCGAAGTGTAACTCACGGTACTAGCCAAAGCAACCCAATCCCACCGTGTTACCAAAATTGACTTGGCTTAAGCAATTATCATATTATAGAAGCATCTAACATTTAAGTAACCCGTATTCGTAAATTTAAAGAAATAGGAGTTTCGATTATTGATCAGATATAGTAAAATCCAGTACCGAAAACAAAGCGTCAGAAAATAATTAAAAGTATTAGTATCAGACAAATATATAAATAATAGGTTACACGTATTTAGCAAATGTGAGCAGGTTAAAAAACTGCTTGAATAACAGTGGAGGACAATACTGATCGGATACAACACGGTTATACTAACTCACCGAACTATAACAGGTTGTATATATATAAAATAGGTACTGATACGTCAGGGCTAAAGAGAATAGAAGGGCTAGTTCACTCCGCTCTTAGAGTTGAAGCTACGATTTCCCTCCTCATGACGTCACTGTGTCTACAGATCTCGGAGATCGCAAGCAAAAATATTATAACTTTGCATCTTTCTTTTTGTAAAAATAAGTTTACGTGATTAACATATATTTCCGTTCGTAAACATAGTTCAAAAAAATTTAAGATTCAAAAAAATTAAATTTTTTTTTAATTATATTAAAAAAATACCATTTTAAACTTATAAAAATATTTTACTAGTTGGCGAAAATGACACTATAAAGACTTGATTTTAAATAGTTCAGTTTTAACGTCAGTTAAGAAAAATAAAAGCATATATCGACACTTTTTTGTCTACATATTCTTTTATAACAATAAGTTGAGTTAAATTTAGAATCCCTGATTTTAAAATATGTCGTTAATAGCAATTTGTTCATACTTAATCATTAGGAAACATCAACCTTAAACGCTAATTACTGAAACAAAATAATAATTTAGGTTCATAATGACATTAGAAATTTTACAATTGTTTATAGACATTTAAATTTACGATGATATAATTTATAGATATTTAAATTGAAGAGAATATAATTTTTAAAAAAAATCATAAATATTTAGAATAACTACATTAAAAAATATGTTATGAAATTAGGAGAATTTCAACTATATACTATATATTTTATTTATACTTTTTATTTACATTTTAATTTTCTTTGACTTTATCCATTTTTTAATTTTTTTCACCTGCCTTTCTTTTTGAAGTAACGAGGCTGTTTCTATTTAGATAATGAATTTTTATAAAAGTTCTTAACGATAGAAAAAACGTATTGCTGTTTTATATTAACTGTGTCATTTCGGAATCTATTCTTTACATAGTTGTTCATTTACTTTAAGGAACACGCGGAAAATTATGTTTTTTCCTTTTGTTTTACTATCAAAATTTTTGCAAGTTGAAATCGCGCAAACTGGCATTTCGTTAATAGTTTTAAATTTTTGTAAATTCACTGTAAAAACTGAGGAAAGTCATTATTGAAAATAACAAATGTCTTAGAATATGTCGCAAAAAGAAATGCCCCAATTTTAGTTAGAGCTAGTAAGGCCGAACGCTCTGTACTTGAAGTAAAAGTGCGAGCTTTGCGCCAAAGTGACGTCACTAGAGAAAATCGGAGGGTTGGCGCGGCAAGAGTTTCTTCAAAGGAAATCCTTCCAATCCAGTCCTTCTATTCTCTTTAGCCCTGCTGATACGTACGGTTCAAGTATTAGTCAAAAGAGTTCGTGACAAGTCCGAGAGAAAAGTAGCAAGTTCAAGTATTGAATTAAAAATACTGACCAATTAAGTCTGCGAATCGAATGCAATATAATGGACCTTACCTAACGATAAAGAGTATGCATTAAGCAAAGCCTAGAGTGTTTCAATTCCCTATATACAGATAGCGAGCTTCGATAAAGAGTTCAAACGATAATAGATTAATATAATAACTATAGTACAAACAACGTTTGTGAGTTCGAGCTCGAATGAATAATGATAACAGGTTTGAGAACAGAATAAAATAGAATACTGGCACTATTTTAAGCACAACCTCCTTTTTATCTGTTCTCACAATCGCTATCTGATGACTAGTATTCGCAAACACTATCATTGGTTTTCTAATTCATTTAATCAGTACTCAAACCTATAGGTTTGAGTTGATAGGTTGCGAGTTTATATATAAACTCGCAATCGGTTCTCGAATCTATTCCCTTTTGATCAGTATTCAAAATGGACTGTATTTAAACTCGCAATTGATATTTGATTCTGATATAATTAATAGCTTTTGAATTATACTAAAAGAACTATCACTTCATCAACCTTTTTTATCGTTGTTCGCTGCCAGTGTGTCCCAGATACTTACCTATCTTCTGTTTGAACGGACTCCCGCCAGTATTTGAATTATAGCGAGATAGAAAGATATTGGGTTTAAATCATGATTAAACAAGATTCGTTTTGAAAATTGAGCGAAGTACAGCAGGTTGACTTATTTTATTTTATTGAGATTACATACATTTGCTGACTTGTGTGCTCAATATATAGGCTTATAAGTCATTGTCAAGTAGAAAATACAGATAGAACAATTCAGAGAAAGACATCACAAAGAATACATCCAGGGTTACGGCGGGATTCGAACCCGCTACCTCCACGCTTAACAGAGCGTTTGGACCGGCGATACCGCTCCGCCAAGGAGGCCCCTACAGCAGGTTGAATTACTTATAGATAGTAGTTTCGATTATTGATCAAAAGAGACTGCATTTGAAAAGTGATCAATTGATAAAAGATTCGAGTGCTGGAATAATAATGTTGTTAATTGGTACGATTGATGAATTAGAGACTAGCTTTGATAACTAAACTAATTGCAGGTTCGAGTATGTATCAGAAGACTAATTTTTGAAAACAACAGTTAATAGCAGGTTCGAATACCGATAGAAACATAATGGGTTCGAGTATTAAACAAAGTGACTGAAGAGAATTATAAAACAATTTGTCATAATCAAGGATACTTAAAATTGAGTAACTAAGTTGGAATTTTAAGAAAAATCTAACTTGAGGCAGAAGTTTCAAGCTCCTTAACTCGGACATTCAGTTGTCAATACTCTAGAAACTATTAAGAATAAAAGAAGTTTGAGAAGGCAGCTTCGGTAATGACGTTTGGTTCAGAAAAAAGGGATATTTTTTAAATCCCTTATTGAGCAAACGCAACTTACGATACGTATATAAACCGAAATACACCCGCACATATATAGATAAGAGTAACTTTTTTTTAATGTATGACAAAAAAAAAGACATCAAACAGAAGAAAATTATTTTTCACAATCACATCTTGATTCTATGATGCATGGCGATGCTTCTTTTATTTATGTTCTTAAAAGAAAGAAAATTACTCCCAAACTATTCGCTTTATTTAGTGTAAAAATCCCTGCCCCCCAAGCTTTAAGTGGGCGCATCGTGCGCCCACCTTCCCCCCTGATGGGGGCCACTGATTGAGAACTTTCGAACCATCTTTATTCTTATCAATGGGGCAAATTATGATTTATTAGGGACGGCAGAATAGAAGAGAGTAAATAAGTTTTCCTTCCTATAAATATAAATATGATAAATAGTGCTAATTAAAATAACAGTATAACGCAATGACTGTTCGACTGATTTATCAAATTCAGCTGGCCTCTGACGCGACGCGACTCTCCCAAGTCCCGCAGCGACAACGATTTGTAGGGTTTATGCATTAGTAAACCGACTGCTAAGACTAATCTTTTTTAATTAGATACCTAGGTACTTTGACATTACAGAAATAAGCATTAATGATGAAATTTAAATTCCGTTTTTGGCAACAATCTTTAATATTTCTCAATAAACAAAACCCTAAAATCTATACATACTAAATTTTTTTTATAAAACTAACTCTTTGCTTTGGTTTAAGCAGTAATTATTTTCAAGCTTTATTAACTTTATTTTACTACTAGTTAGATGCTAGTTTACTACTGGTTGGCTGCTGTGAAAAAATTGTATTCAATGTCGTGAACTTGAAAATAACTACTTTTAACTGCATTGTATGATTTCCTGACATTTAATTTTGTTCTTTTTTTTTTCTTCTAATGAAATTTGATGGATTCTAATTATAAAAATAAATACTTAAAACTTTCTTTCATATTTAGATAGAGTCTGAGGAAAATAGCTGTAATATAATGAAAAATAAGTGTAATATGATAGTTTATAGGTAAAATTAAAAAGTGTCAAAAAAATCCTACATAAAAGTTTGGAACTATGGTGTGTCAATCAACTGAAAAAGAGAAATGTCTTCAAAGTCAGAAACGATTTTTAAATTATTCATATTATGAAATTTTCATTCAGTCATATCGAACACGCGGACCTAACTTGGGGGAGATTTCTGTATCCTGATCTGTGGCAGAATAATCGCCAAGTCTGCGAAACTTCCGAGCAGCGGCTCGCGAGAAACTGAAAAAAAAAGAAAAAAAGAAACATCACAGAAAGGGACCAGCTCGAAAGTCATAACCACCCTGGGGCAACATCTACATGTTTTTTTTTTTTTTTTTTTAAATTTGCAAGTTTAAAATCTGTTTGACAACTTGGCGATTGTAGTTGGCGCAACAGATCACGATACGGTTGTCATTTATATGCTGCTCACTCATTTCTTTAAATTACAATTTTAAAGCTAAATAAAATAGTTGCGTTACAGCTCTTAAGTTAGATATTTATTTTGGAAATTATTAATCTTTAGAATGTTAAACATTATCTATGTATTATAAAAAATTGCGAATGTATTTTTATGAAATTGTCAGTTTCTTTTTGCATAAATAAAGGTTATCTGAGTTGGACACTGTACTAAAATAATAATTGCCAAGTTTGGGCAATTATCAGATAGTCGCATATAAAGTATTAAAAAGAAAAAAAAAAGCAATCACTGAATGAAGCAAACTCTAAGGGGAGAGTTATTTTTCCTTATAAATAACTATTTCTCAAATGCAATTGCCAAGGTGTAAGAAATTTTGCAATCTACACTATGGCCACGTTTTACTTTTAGATTTTGTCTATTCTGTGCAAACTTTTCCCAATTGGCAAATGGGTCATGGTTTGGGTTTCATGGAGTGGATTTTGGATGTCATCACACTTTTTAACTGTGTTCAAGTGTAATAGTAAACAATGCACATGCATCGTCATTGCATGCTTTGCTATGAGGACTGCTGCTGTTTGATAATTTCTTTAGAATTCTTTCTTTCTTTTTATTTTCACCAGCAGTAATGTATTTACATAATAATGATTTAAAGTATTTTTATATTCTTTTTATAAAGTATTTTTATAACTTATAATTACTGTCTTGACGGTGATTTCAAAATAAATTTGAATACTGAAGAAGAAAAAAGTATTTTGTGACGTCCTGAAACACGTACATAGGCAGGGTATGAAAACCAATCCGACGACAAACATCCATTGAGATAGTTTTAGCAACCCACAATTTGAAATGTTGTGGCTTTTATCGGAGTCAAACCAGAAAAAAAAATAATAAAGCATTTGACCTATGGGTAACCAGTGATCGTAATAAAGTGATCACAATTGCTTTTTTTTTTTGTCCTTTTAATTTTGCACCTTGCAATGCTGGGTTTTGGCCTAAACTGATCAATCATATCTTCCTTCCTGGGCAACTATTTAGGCTTTTCATTGCAAGTGCAAAATCTGGACAGTGGCACTGATGTGATTGCAGTTGGCAGAATCAGGATTCTATTGAAAAATGTATTATAGAATGAAATGGAAAAATGCTTTTAAAAATGGTAAAATATAGTGATATAATGATTTATAAAGTATATAAACCTGTCCACTTTTTATTTCAATGCCACTTTTGTAATAATAATTAAGATTTCTTAAGAAATTTTGGTAATACTATTTTTATTGCAGAAGAAACATGGACATTGAAAGAAATCATGAAAGAAATGACAATTTTCATCCTGTTTTGATTCTGAGTGAGGATGAAGAGAAGATAGCTCTTATGAAAGCTGCCTTGAAGGCTTACACTGATGAATATGAACGTCTTTTACTTTCTATGCAGGTATGTATGTAGCAGCAGGAATTTTTTATTTTTGAAAGAAAAAAATTATGGATCGATATCTGTGAAATTCAGGTATAAGCTTGAAAGAAAGGTAAAGTACATTATAAGGATTGGCAATTACTTAGTTACCCATAATCTAAATTGTCATTTTTGACATCCGAGATTGTCGCAGAATATCATTGTCATGGTGCATAGCATTTTTATAAAGTTCTTAAAGGGGCTTATTTTCGTTTTTTAAAAGCCCTTAAAGGTGCTTTTTTCATTGGATGTTTTTAAAAAGTGCTTAATTTCCACTTTTCGAAAATGATTTTTTTTCTTCGTTACCATGTCGATTTTTGCTTTGTACTATACAGAAGTGTAATTTTCACATTGCCCTATTCAACATTTTTACAATTCATTCAACCACAATCGATCTCGGCGTGCCGTCGGTCCTTAGCGTACAAAAGCGTCAATCATGTTATGTGCTTGATGAAATATTTACAAGTCCGCATGTGCGTCTACTGAGTTGGGTTCGGTGAGATTCTTGCACTCTCATCTGCAACTCTGCTCCATTTTGCAAGCCAACTTCAATTTCAGGCTTCCTTATCCACTCTCTGAAATCAAACCGAAAATCTCTAATTTTTTATGGTGGCTAATATAATCAAGAAAGGAGTTCTTTGTCAGAAACAAGTTATTTTCTCATGATCATGTAAAGTCTTTGAAAATTATTTTGCATTTTCCTAATGTATATAGTGCTCAAAAATATTTCTTGAATGCTTGAAAAGTACTTTAAAGGTGCTTATTTTTTGTTGAAAAATTTGGCTATGCACCCTGATCTTAATTTTGAGTCTTCTAATTTGTTAAGAAGATGTAAGAGTGTCGACTCAACTGTGTGTAAACAGCTGGTTCATAATAGGAAGGAGAATCTAGCAGCTTTTTGGTCATGGGTTGCTATGTTATACACATTCTTTATGGTGTGCCCTACCTCATCCTCCTAGTTAGTTTATGTAGTTCAAATGTCGTGCCAGGATTTATTATATCAGAAAAAAAATCAATATTGTTGAATTTTTAGCCACATTTAGTAATATAATACTTTAAAATCAAGAAATAAATAGCTTTTATATCAGAAATAGAAATTATACCTTTTCTTATAAATACTGCAACATTAACAAATTAGTGTAAATTGTGTTATTGCTGTTCCATGCTGTATATAAAAATTTATAGTCATAAGATTTACTATATGTATATGGATGATCAAGACTGTATTAAGATTCACCAATTTGAGTCTTTACTTTTGCTACATGATTCATATTGTTCTGTCATGCTATTGAAAATTTGCTTTTCAAATTATAGGTAAAAGGATTAATTATTGGATTAATTTATCATAAAACTTTATAAATTACACATGAGATTAAGGAAACTTTTCAAAGGAATATATTATTACATTAGCAGCTTATAATTTAAACTTATATATTATTAAAAAATTATTTAATGTAAGCTTTAGTATTTCATTATCTATTATATATCAAGCAGAGTTCTCCCTACAAATAAAAATAGGCAGGGTGCTTCCTCGTAGAAAAATGGACTTTGAGTTTTTAAAGGGCACTCACCACCATTAAAATTTTTCAAAATATGTAATATTATGTAATAACTGAATTCAATCCACAATTTTTAGATTACCGTCTTATTTTATGTGTATATTTCAAAAAACGATTCTTCCTCATTCTCAAGGTAACAGAAAAATTTAAAGCTTTTTAGTGATAATTAAAAGCAAGCTAAAAGACAATCTCTGTGTTTATGAACTAAAAATTATGAGAAAATAAACATTTCAAGGTTCATTTTTAAGTAAAAGGTATTTATTTTTTTTAAAAAAATAAATAAATAATGGTAAAATTTAAAACCTCTAAAAAAATCATTACTATTCCCCCTTAAATATAAGATGTGAATATCTCTGGGCCCAAATATCATGCAAGTTTTAACTTTATAGCTTGACAACATAAAGAAAATCTTGCTAAAATGAAGAAATCAAATTAAAGTTAAATAATTATCAATCACTAAATAAATCAGAAGTGAACTTTTCATTGAAACAGGTGGTTAAGAAAACAACCTTTTCTTGAAAAAATAAAATAAAAAGGCAGTGTTTTTAAGGTGACGGTTGGCTTATTTTTGCAAAAAGGCAAGGAGGGTGCATTTATAGGGATCAATGGGCAAGCGGGGCGGGCCGCCCTTCTAAAAACTTTTAGGGTATCAAACGCTAACACTGATTAAGGGCATCTTCGTAGCATTATTTCTTTTCATGAAAATGACAATAATATATATAGAGCTGTGATGGCCTAGGTGATCGAGCGCCTGTCTTCCAATGAGGTGACCGGGTTTGAATCCCAGCAATGGCTGATCGATGTGAATTCTGCATCCTGATTGTACTGAACACAATGCTGATGTAAAATATCCTTAGTGGTAGACAGACCATGGGTTAGAGTACCCTTATCATCAGGCTAACTGTGGGAGGTTTTCCTCTCATGTGATGTAAATGCAGGTTAGTTCCATCAAAAAGTCCTTCTAGAAGGCAAATTTCTCCCAATTCATTCTTGATTCAGGAGTTCTCTTGTCTTCTTGACAGGGTAGGGTGCAAAGTTACAAGACTATGGAGTTGAACAATAGTAGTTGTAAACCCGAAAAAATTGGATCGGCTGTGGAACAACGGTTATAAAATAAAATAATGTGTATAAAATTTCTACTGGTAATAAATTTGGCGATTCTCATGTTAGGAGAAAAATTGATAATTTGTTAATATTTTTTAAAAGAGAACGTTATTTTTATAAAATTTAAAAACAAAATCTAATTTACGAATAAATAAATTTATTTTCTCTCTTCTTATAAATAATAATTCTCTAAATTAAAAATATATTGTAAAATAGGTAACTCTGTGCTTGTAAAAGCCAAATATATAAATAAATTTTCTTTGTCTCTAAAGGAAATGTAGGTTCACTTTTTATCAATATATTTATATATTCTTACATGATATCAGATTTGATTTGATTAATTTGTTTCACCTCGGGACTTTTTTAAAATGATTCTATGCATTCCTTGACTGTTTCTTTTTATGTTAGATATAATTTCCAATTGATTACGTTAATATTATATCAGGTTTTGCTTTACCCTAAATTTGACACAACATAGCTACATATAACTCTTGTATCATTGCACTGCACATTCAATCAACTGAATTAATTTAATTATTTTTCTTATGTTTATTTTTTCTTTTAAATATGCTTTCTTTTTCTTACATTAGTTAGTTTTTTAAGACTAATTTGTTAGACTAGGTTTATTGTTGAATTCTTTGCATTGTTATTGGTTATTAAAATCTTTTTTTTTTCTTTTTTCAGAGAAGACTCATAGCTGGTAAGTAATTGGAAATGTTTTCAAAATTGCTCATAGCATTAGTATATTTGATTTTTCTTAAAATTGTGTTTGTGTGTGATACATAGTAATTTTTACAAAATCTTGACACAAGTTAGGACACAAATAATTTATTTTGCTTAATATAACCCAACAGTGAACATTGGAAAAACAACTTCTTTTTTTAAAATTTTATTCCCTTACATTTTTACCACTTATATTTGTGTAAAAACATTTTTCTGTGATGATTATTTTAACTAGTTCATATTTTTAATACATATAGTGCTTATTTTCTGAAATTCTAGTAAAAAGGAATGCAAAAATGGCACAAGATGCATTACATTGGCCCCTTTAGAATGCATTTTTTCTAAAAACAGCAATAATCCTTAATAGTTTATTTTTTTAATTAACATTCATAATAATTTTTTTTTAAAGTTCTCTTTCAAGAAATGTCTTATAAAAAATTTAAACAAACTTCTCTTCTTAAATTAACATCAACTACAAAATAACAAGGGGATTATCATGAACAGCAACATTCAAGATGATCATCATTAACTGCAAAATTGATACATCAATTTTAAGATAGAAATGCTAAATGTTTGATTTGCTGTAATTATGTTTAAAATTACAATTAAAATAAATTTACAATTTTAATTGTTAACAGGTTGGAAGTCAATTAAACAATTATTGTGATTATTTCTCTTTTTAGTACACATTTTCAAAAAACAAATTATGTAAATGAAATTGTTAAGCAAATATTATTTGTCAATTTGAGAAAACTATATAATTCTGCTCTCTCTCTTGCCTCTGACAAAAAGAATAATAAATCATAAAATCTTCTAGACATGTACTATTAAGAAAGGGCATTTTTTATTTTGTTTATGAGACTAGTGCTACAAAAAAATATACAATTATAAAATTGTTGGTTCTTCAAACAAAAATTAGTATTCAATAATTAATAAACTTTCTACTAACTAACAATATGTTTATTGTTTTTAAAGCTCATAAAATATAAAATTACATACAAATATTTCAGCCTAGATCTAGAAATATTAAAGTATTAAGTTTATATTTTTGACTAGGTATGTAATGAATAGTAATTTGGCCGAATATTCGGCCAAGAAAAATCAGCTAAATACCTGGTATTTGACGGCCAAAATAGCAAAATTAAAAAAAGAAAAATAATAATAATAATAATTAATAAATATTCTTTTTTTATATCTAAATAAGTTTTGTCATNCTATTACAATAACAAAAATTAGTATTCAATAAATAATAAACTTTCTATTAACTAACAATATGTTTATTGTTTTTAAAGCTCATAAAATATAAAATTACATAAAAAATATTTCAGCCTAGATCTAGAAGTATTAAGTTTATATTTTTGACTAGGTATGTAATGAATAGTAATTTGGCCGAATATTCAGCCAAGAAAAATCTGCTAAATACCTGGTATTTGACGGCCAAAATAGCAAAATTAAAAAAAAAATAATAATTAATAAATATTCTTTTTTTATATCTAAATAGTTTTCTCATTATTGAAAATTAATATAAACTTAGCTGTATTATTGTTGGAGGATAAAGGGGGGGGAAATATAATAGTTATTTATTAGAAATATTTAAGCTGAATAAAAACTAACAAATAGCTGTTAAAAAAAATTGTTAAGTTAAAAAGAAAAAGAGAAATAGCAAAAAAAAAAACAAGAAATTATTCTTAAGACAAAACTTGAAAGTTAAAAGCAATATTTCTTCAAAAAAGCATACATAAAATGTGTTATCAGAAACGCTTTTAAAAAATACTGCGCTATAATAAAAATGCCACAAAATCAAAAGATTATATTCAAAAGTAAAACAGAAAAAATAAATATCAATCTTAATTTTCGAAAGAAAATTTTGAACCTGAACATCTCAGTTTTCCAATTATACTGCATTTTCAAGAAAAAGTGAAGAAAAATAATTAAGTCTAATAGGAACCCTTTTAATTGTAAATACGTCAAAAATAAAAATGTTGATAAAAATCAAAAGTTTTTTTTTTTTAAATAAAGTTAGATTGAAACCAAACCAAAATTCAATCTTAATTTTTTAAAAGAAAATTTAATGCTAAACATCTCAATGGAACTTTTTAACATTGTCAGGGTTTTAGAAAAAAGTGATAATAAGAGAATAATGTTCATTACAAACCCTCTTTAAAAAATGTTGTGTCATAATAAAATCACTAATTATAGAAAATTAAAATAAAGAGAAACGGTGAAAAAGATTCTTATTCTTTAAAATATAACTTAAACCTTGAAAATCACAGCTTTTTTGTTTCTGTATAGAAAAAAAGTAACAATAAAAGAATAAAATATAGCATAAAATGTTCCATTAAAATGCCAGTGTATAATAAAACCAAATAAAAAAAAAAGCATTCTCAATTTTTAAAACAAAGGTGTTGAATATAATATGTTATATATGTACGCCTAAATATAATTGAAAAAATCAGCAGTACAAAACATGTGGTTCAGTATAAAATAATCTAGCTTCATTTCTTGAAATTTTGCTTTTCCGTTTGTCTTCTAGAACATAAATTTGCAAGCACATGAATTTTAAAACTTAACAAATAGGTGTAAAACCTCTATCAGATAATGTATAATAAAAATACTGTTTTAGATTATTTTTTATTTAATCTATTAAAACTCTTCAAAAAACCTTTGTCAAAAAATACGTTTCCAAATAATGCTTGGACGAACATTCGGCGAACCAAATATTCAGAGAATGGGCTGAATACCAAATAGTGGCCGAATATTCGTTACATGCCTGTTTCTGACTGTAATAAATTATTGTAGTATGCTAAATTAAGATTGTTTAAATTAATAATAATAATTTAAACAATTCTTAATAAGTTTTGAGTGTCTAAAAAATTATAATTTTTCTCATGGCATTTTGTAAATTTAGGTAAAAAGAACATTGATATCTGTTGTCAAGAATCAAATGAAATTGAACTACTACTTAATGCATTAGAGAATAAAGTAATTGAAGCACAACTTTTGGCTCAAGATTCCGAGACTGGTATTGAAATGATTTTTCCACTACCCTTTAGTAGTATTATATTGTTTATTTTACATTTTACGCATAATATTTTTTTTTATAACTAATAGGAACTTTTTTCTTAACTTGTAAAAATGCTATTTGTTTCAAAATTATTTCAACTTATTGAATATATGTATATATATCTTAAATTCTGTGTAAGCATATTATATAGGATATGCTCTTGCATATAATGCATTTTTCAAAAACATATTTTAAAGTTAATGATTTGTTTAATGGTACAATTTTCTTCTATATCTAAATATAATGTACTAACTTCATCATCATATCTCTTTCCAGAGGCCCTCCAAACCATTAAAGATAATCGTATGATCAAAAGAAAAATTATTGCTTTGAAGAATGATATTGAAGAACAAGAAAAGTAATCAATCACTATTTGTATTTTTAATCTCTTTAAGACACTATTAACAGTTAACTTATATTTCTTTAAAAAAAAAAAGTACTGTGTATTGTGATTTTGGCAAAGGTGTTAAACATATACTTATAATTAAATTTTACAGAAATAAATAAATGAAAATTTATTATATTTTTACAAATCCTATTATTGAATTGCTTTAAAAGAAANATACTGTGTATTGTAATTTTGGCGAAGGTGTTAAAAATTTACTTTTAATAAAATTTTACAGAAATAAATAAATGAAAATTTATTATATTTTTACAAATCCTATTATTGAATTGCTTTAAAAGAAACAATATCTTTCTAAAGATTTATTGCGACCAAAAAATCCCTATTTTTTAAAATAAAAATAGCACCAGGCTTCTTAACCTGTGAAATATAGTTTGTTGTGTTTTTTCTAGTGTAGGAAAACACTACTCATGGAGGTAGGCCAAATAAATAGTAGTCTGAAAAGTCTAAATCAGGGTTATACTAGGGATAGTCCAAGTATTTCCCTTTTTAAAGTTCTCAAGTAGTTTATAGGGCCATTGGTCTGAATGACACCTTTCAATAGACAGGGTTCCCACGGGTCAGGGAAAACTTGGAATTGTCAGGGTGTTTTATTTTAACCCCGAAAATCATGGAAAGATGCAATTTTTTTACAAAAACCTGGAATATTCTTGTATCATACCTGGAAAGTAACCAGTCTTAAAATTGTCAGTAACAGTAATCAGTTATTGTGATTCGAGTTAAATAATTCTAATATCTATTACAATTATTTGTTGTTAGAGGTTCTCATTTTAGTCGAACAGAAATGTTCCTTTCCTCATTTAATATCATTTTACACAGAAAATCTAATATTTCACATAATAAAAGAATTCCTGTTGATAATACACTCCTAATGACAATATTTCCTAATGACAAATAAAAGAAGTTTCCTGATGAAAATATGGTCTCAATTTTTATTGAAATTTACCTGGTATACTTGGAAAAGTCAGGGAATTTTTTTTCCGAAATTGAGTGGGAACCCTGATAGATGAGAAATAAGTAGATGAACTTTTAATTTGTCCTAAATAAAATATAGATTAGCATAAAATTATGTACAAGCAAGCTGTTGTACTTTTATGAACTTGGCCCCAGCAGCACAGAAAATTATTAACTACATAAAAACTCTTGGGGTTTAAAGAGAAACTACAATTTTTAATATAATTTTGTACTGTATACACAGTGACTTTTACCCTAAATGTAAACTGTACCAGTTTACTAATTTCACTATCTTCATATCTCAATAGAAATTATTGAAAAGTATCAATTACAATGTTGTAACCTTCATTTCAAGTCATTATTTCCTTAGANAATATTCCTATATCATACCTGGAAAGTAACCAGTCTTAAAATTGTCAGTAACAGTAATCAGTTATTGTGATTAGAGTTAAATAATTCTAATATCTATTACAATTATTTGTTGTTAGAGGTTCTCATTTTAGTCAAACAGAAATGTTCCTTTCCTCATTTAATATCATTTTACACCGAAAATCTAATATTTCACATAATAAAAGAATTCCCCTTCATAATACACTCCTAATGACAAATAAAAGAAGTTTCCTGATGAAAATATGGTCTCAATTTTTATTGAAATTTACCTGGTATACCTGGAAAAGTCAGGGAATTTTTTTTCTGTAATTGAGTGGGAACCCTGATAGATGAGAATCTGCTCTGAAATAAGTAGATGAACTTTTAATTTGTCCTAAATAAAATATAGATTAGCATAAAATTATGTACAAGCAAGCTGTTGTACTTTTATGAACTTGGCCCCAGCAGCACAGAAAATTATTAACTACATAAAAACTCTTGGGGTTTAAAGAGAAACTACAATTTTTAATATAATTTTGTACTGTATACACAGTGACTTTTACCCTAAATGTAAACTGTACCAGTTTACTAATTTCACTATCTTCATATCTCAATAGAAATTATTGAAAAATATCAATTACAATGTTGTAACCTTCATTTCAAGTCATTATTTCCTTATGGCCTGGTTTCTTAGGACAGGACACCGTCAGCTGGAAATCAGCGCTAACCTCTGATTGGTCCATTTGTGAGTTTGATAGTATACGTCATCGAACGCTCATCTTGAACTACAATTGCCGTCCAACTTAGCTGCATTACAACGTGACGTTAACCACAGAAGTAATGGCGGACAACATCCAATAGCACATTGAAACCAGCCAAGATTTTGATTTTCACATTAAACATAGCTTCTTCATTAAACATAGCACTCTTCATTTAGCTCGGCTATAATATGTTTTTTCTTGAACAAAGTCATTATTTATTCTCTAAAACACTGGTCCACAATAACAAAATCAATACAAATTCAAAATAAATATTTGTTTACGTTATTAACGCATGTGCAATGAGAGATAACATCTGCGTTGGACCGACTGCTCACGCTGAGCTAACAAAAAAGTATTTTTTTGGGCGTACGTAATTTTTTCGCTGACGCCCAGATAAGGCGCTTGTCCCTTGAAACCAGACCTTTAGATTTCAAAATATGTGCATACTGCAATATATATTTCCAGTAGTTACGCATGAGCTAAAAAGTTGATGTTTTTAGTTTTTGTCAGATCTTCATTAATTATTTTTGTGTCATCTATTAATAATAAAAATATTTTGGAAAATAAGCTATATAACTTTTTATTCTGATTCTGTTAGTTGAAAATGGTTAAATAGTTATCAAGAAATAAAAATGCAGTCTCAAAATTAAATTAATTACAGTTGTATTTTGACATTAAACAGAGTTCCTTGAACCTTAAAACCTACCTCTCCACAATAGTTTTTTTTTATATAACCATTGTTGAACAGCCAACCCACTTGAGGGTTTACGGCTACTAATTTCAACTCCATAGCCCTGCAATTTTGAACCCATTCCAGAAGACAAGGGAACTCGTGGATCAAGTATTGGGGGAAATTTGCCTTTGCGGAGGACTTTTTGATGGAACTAACCCACATTTGCGTTACATGGAGAGAAAAGCCACAAAATGCTTCCACGGTTAGCCTTACGGCAAGGGGACTCTAACCCATGATGCGACTACCACTTAGGATAATTTACGTCAGCATTGTGGTCGGTGCAAGCCGGGTGAGGAATTAGAATTGACTAGCTATTGCTCGAATCGAACCTAGATCGCCTCATTGGGAGCCACTACGGTTTTCTCCACAATATTTATAAAAGCGTAATTGAAATTAAGCTAAGTAACCATGCTTTTAAAATTTTGCCAATACTTAAGTATATAACAAATATTAATAAAGTCTATTGAACCAAATGTAAATGAAGTTATTAAATGTAGTAATTTGTCAAAATCATTTAGAAGCAAATGTTACGTAAATTTTACTGCTATAATTATTTGGGAATTTATCATTTCTCTAATGAATATAGAATTAAATAATTGTATTGTCTCACAAAGAAATATCTTTTTATTTTTAGATTACTGAAAAGAGCAAATGAAACTATGCAAACGGTGAAGATGACAGCTCTTAACAAAAAGATAAAAGTGCTTAATGACGTCACATAATGTTTTTGTTTTCTAACTTCACTTAATTTTGAAAAAATATGTGATCTTTAAAATATGAGTTTCTACCATTTTACTTGATTGCACTTTCAATCTGTTATGTTTTTCACTAAATTTATAAATTATATTTCTAGTAATCCTCTGGATTTCTTATTTTGATGAAATAAAATTTCTCAACCATACAAGAGTGGTTAAGTTATCCAGTTGTAAAATTTATATATGTTTTTTAATGGAATGAATATAGATAAAATAAGCAAGCTATATAAAACATATTTGTTACTTTTGCTTCATTTAAAATACTTAAGGCTCACCAACCCTGATCATTGTTTTGCAATAATTATAATAATTATTTCTTAGCAGAAAACAGTTTTTCTACTAAAGTTAAAATTATTCACTTAACATATATGTACTAAAAAGAATTCTGTTTGCTCACGCTTGTGCCTCCACTCCCCACGTCCAAATATTATTATTTTTATTGAAATCTATTGGTGAACAGAAGTAATTTTTCTAAGTAATCATTTTTTAAAATAACATTTATATTATTCAAACAAATTTGATGAGTTCCCAACTGTAGTTTAATATTTACGCTTACCAAATAGGCGGATCTATGAAATACTGCTTCAGATTTCATTTCATTTTGCATGAAGCTGATCGTTAAGTTCTAAATCGTTTAACAGATCTCTTTTACTGTAATTCATAATAGTATACTAATGCTATTTGCACAAAAATAATAATTATAAAACGGTTAATAAGATTAGACCACCTCCTTTAAAATGTACTGCAGAATTACATTCATTCTCTTAGTTTTAAACTCTAGAATTTAAAGCATAATAATAGCAGTACAGGAAAATATCTTTAAATTAGGGATACAAAAATATTTATAAAGAAACAATAACTTTATGACTTTTATGCTGATGACAACCATAACAATATTTAAATGAATGAGGAAAAAGTGGATCCTACCACATGATATAACCATAATGGATCCACCAATAAAAATGCATGGACAACAATGGAAAATTGCAACACCATCTTTAGATTTTTATATATTATGTATAGTAAGAAGTAGTTTTATATATTGGTGAAATGTTTTTTTTAACATAGCTTTTATAATAATTTGCTATTATTGCAATATACCATGGTTAAAAAGAGTTAAGTGTTTTTTAAATTTGTGTACATAAAATGTGCCTTTTTTTTCAAAAACAGAAAGAAAATAATACATGTGTCAAAAAATTATATTATTTTTAACTTAAAATTTAGTTGTAATCTTTTCATATAATCAAAAATAAATTCTATTCAGATTACAAATAATAATCTTTTAATGGGAGAAAGAATTTAACTTATGGTATTGTCTTTTTAGGCTATAAGTGGTGAAGGACAAAATTATATCTTGACATGGTTATAATCTAAAATAATTTGATTTCACTAAATTTTATTTCTATAAGTGAAATATTCCATGAAGTGTTATTTATTCTTCAAATACATGTTTAAAGGGTGGGCAAAACAAAGTAGCTCTTTTTTAACTCTGAAGAAAGTGTAACTAAAGAAGTCTAAACAACAAAACAGTTGCCATAATACCACTAGTCTTCTATAACTTTTACGAAAAAAATAATACTAATAATGTTGTTGTCTTATGCCATTTGTCAATACAAACAAGCCTGCCTTAAAAATAATTACAGAAAATTTATTTTTTAAAGTTACATGACACTCGTAATAAATAATTGCAAGTTTTATAATAAAAACACACAGAACAAAATACTAAGTTTATTTACATAAATAAAATCACAATTTTTTTAAATATCTAAAATCAGTCACAACACAATTAATCTCTCTCGATATATATATTTTACATTTTGAGATCACTTCAAAAATGACACTATAAAGTTGTTAAAATATTTATGCAATTTTAATAACAAGATTATGAATATTGTTTGACAAATACATAATGTATGTTTAAAAAAAATTGAGAAAGCTTTCGAGTTTTAAAACTATGAACTTTATTTCTGACACTGTGCCTTTTCTGTATGTAAATATATATATAAATTTTTTAAAAAGACGTATAGCATGAATTTTGGCATTAAAATTAGATAGACAGATTCATTAAATTAAGAAAAATTAGAAGTTTTTTGTCCTTCTGAATCTTTACTCTAAAGACTATTTCAAGCTATAGTATGTTCCACAATCACTTCCCTTAATATCAGGGTATATTTCTTATTTTTATGAATTTTCATAATCAGTGGAATAAATTTTATTAGTAACTTTTCAGTTATTATTCTTATAAATAAAATATATTACAAAACAATTAGACATACTTGCTGTTAAGAGTTGTAAATAAAAATTTTAAAGAAAAAAAAATATGAGCAAATTATTTTGGGGAAAAAATTTAGGAAATTTAGCAACCCCAAACTCAAATTAATTCAATTTCCCTGACTTTTCGGGTCTTTAACTAAAATTCCTGACATTTCCCTGATTTTTAAAGATTGATTAACTTCCCTAACTTCAAAATGTTTTCCCTGATCTGTGGAGCCATCCTGAACTATATATTTTTAGAACCCCTGTCATAAATGATATCAGAAAAAATGCAAAATATATGTAACAAACTAAAATTTAAGCCAAATATAAAAACTTTATTAAAATATAACCCATTAATTTCAGGGCAGGTGGAGTTAAAAACACCAAAACCTGTTTAATTCCCAATCAAAACATGTAGGTGTTTCTAAAATTTATTCTTCAAAATCTTACATTTTCTTTGCAGTAGTCAGGATTTAAAAATGTTGTTTTTTCTTTTCTCATTTAAATAGTAATTAATCCTTAATAAATATATTTTTTGACAAAAACTTTAAAAATATACGTTATCAGTGGTGTGTCCAGACATTTTGTGAAAGGTCCTGTTTTTGTAAAATTGCCAAAAAATTACTCGGATCTTGTGAATATAAAATAAACGTTAAGTCACATTCTTTCAACCAGGGTTCTGCTTTTGTGAATGTGTGCAAATAGGGTCCTGTTATTGCAAAAAAACTTNAGAAAAAAAAGATACCTCTGTATTATGTCACTAAAATAAACATAAATCAAGTAATTCAACTAAATGAAATTTCATTACTAAACTGCTTCACACAATTTCGGCAGATCAAACAAAGGATTTCTAAGGAAGCAGAGAAAAACTTTGATAAATGAATTTTTATAACTCGTCTCCCCCCCCCCTGGGAAGGGTTTATTTGATTAACAAAACAATAACGAAGATAAACAAATTTGCGAAGGGTCCGATTAAGAGATAAATCATTTTGTGAAGGGTCCGTTTTTAAGTTAAAATATTTTGTGAAGGGTCCGTTTTCAAGTTTTAATATTTCGTGAAGGGTCCATTAACGTACCCAAATTTATTCTAAACAGACCTCTGATTATGGACAGTGATTGGAAGACACTATGGATACTTGAATGTTATTTTATTAGAAATTTATTTGGAATGTTAAAACACGTGTAAAATTTTAGTAAAGAAGTTTTATTTTTTAAATTTTTTACAAAAGCAAGTCTTACCTTAAGTAAGTAATCAGCACTAGATCTCTTAACACTAACACTAAAAAGTCAACATTGTTTTCTTCCATTTATTGTTCTACGATGCCAAACAAAAATTAAGAAAGAAATTTTAAGTTTTGTTGATTGTTGTACACTTGAGCTTCTGTACCTTTTACATTTGTGAATTAAACTGTTAACTAACAGATGTCAGAAGCTATTTGATCCACTTCCCTCTTTTTATAAAGTTTTAAAAACCTGTGTGTGCATATCAGTATTCTGAAAAATAACAAGTATTGTATAAAGCAAAATTAAAGTTTTTTTTAAGCTCCAACTAAATGTAATTACAGAAGAAAAATCAACAAAATTCACAATTTCCAAATATAAATAAGTTGAAGCACTACAAAGGTGAAAACATTAACAAAATGCAGTAAGCTTTAACTCAAATGATTGACATGAAATACTTGAAATGCCACAAGAAAAAAAGGAACAAAAAAGAAGACTTAATTCTTGAATATTCATAAATCCCCTTGAATACGCAACCATTGTGGTATCTTCACACCTTAATTTAAAATGAACTTAATTCAATGAGTCTGGGTTTAAAAAGAGGTTGATATGTTACTTTTTAGAAAGGTGAGTTCATCCCCAATTTGGTACAAAATTCCAGTCGAGCCCTTTTCTGCTGCCGGACATTAATTCTAAAAAAGAAAAGAATGCTTAGTGTACTTCTGTATAATGTACTCTTTATCAATGCCTTAGAAACAAATTTCTAAAGGAATATAATCATAAATGTTTACGTGTTGCAAACTCCTTTGAAGAAAAAACTTTTGGGGGTCAATTTTTACCGACTTTTATTTTGCACCTTCTTATAGGAATAGGTAATATCATAGAAATGATGCTTTTTCTTTAAAGAAACAGTTATAATAACTCACATTTTTAAAATTTCAAAACTCTTTTTCATTGAGCCGACTTAAATGCATGGTTATTGTTATATTTTGTTGCAATGTTATTATTTTTCCCCAGAAACAATGCATAAATTTCAGCAACTGCCTTTTCATAAGTCACAATTGTTGCAACTAGTGCATTGTTTTTCAAAAAATAAAGAAGATTTCTGTTTCTTTTTTTCTTCTTTTTGGTCTTTGATATGAACCAAACATGGCACAAAATCAGGGTGGCTTTATTTAAGTGGGAAACACTGTATAAGAATGTAATCTACATGGAGGCATAAATCTTAAATATGCTTATTAATTATTACAGCCAATATAAGTTACCAAATTAGAAACTAAAACATACTTTTTCTGAATAAACTTACCTTTTTTTTAATGAATTCAATGTTTTGATTCTTATAATATAGGAGTGGCCAAAATAAAGAAAATACAATCTGAATGGTTTGGTCAAATGTTTCACAGGCTGCATAGCCAGATTTTTCAACAAAAAATAAGCACCTTTTAAGTACTTAAGCACTCAAAAAATATTTTTATTCACTTCGCAAAAAAATCATAATTAGGATCTGTACAGTAATAAAAAAAATAATTTTCTTCTATCATTTAAAGTTCTTAATTTATAAACATAAAATCAACAAAATTTAAAAGCATTACGTAATCATGATAAAAGAACTAGTTTCTGATAAATATTGCAGAGAAAGTTGTGAAAATCATACTTTTTTTGTAATTTAGCACGGCAATGAAAAAAATCTATTTTTAAAAGTTAGAAAATTAAGTACTTTTTACAAACCTTGAACAAAAAAAGCACCTTTAAACACTTTTTAAAAACGCTACGCACCCTGGTTTCAGATATCAGGCCTTTATAACCTTTTTATTTTTGCATATTTCTCGATATTATCGGAAGTAATAAATTGTCAGAATTTATGGTAGGAAAAACTTTAAATGGCAAATTTTATATCACATTTATAGGTATTTATAATGCAAGTTTGGAGAAAAGTAAATTCAAGTAAACCTAGGAAACCACCAAAATTTTTAAATGCTGAAAAATGTTTTTAAAATGTCAAAACGCATACAAATTATTGCAGATTAACTTCCCCTTTATATGATCCTTAAAAATCCTGCCATAATTTGTCTGAATTTTAATATTTTAAATTTTTTTCAGCATTTAAAATATTGTTGTTTACCCTGGACTTAATTTTTCTATATATTAAATTACTAATGTAAGTGAAAAAGATTTGCCATGAATGGTTTCTTTGGAGGTATATGTTCATCTTAATAACACAAGTGTTTGATTCACATAACCCACCATAATATATGCTTTAAAGATTATTGAATGTTGTAAAAAAGAGGAGAAACTATAAAAATTTGCAAACAAAATGTTTATTAACCTTTTAACTGTCATGCCCGTCACTGCACAGACACAGCACCGGTGTTCTAAAATGTCATGCCTGCATACTCCTCGGTGTAATTTTTTTTTAGTGCATCGTATTGTCATATTTGAATATTATATTAGGAGAAGTTAGAAGTTATTTTGGCTTTATCTCTTTGTCAAACTTGAATCTACCTAGTTAATTTAAATGCTATTTAGAACAATAGATGACAGCACTTTACTGAAGATTACAAAAGATAGAGGTTTATGATTAAAGTGCGCGAAATTTTTTTTTGTTGCAAAATGGCATCCAGTTCTTTGAAACGTTATATAGATATCAATTTTTTTTTTAATTTTTAGAAAATAATGCTCCACTAGAAGCGAACTTTATCACTGCAGCCACCTCAAGCGAATATTCAGTGGCTACAAGATCTAAAAACTTTTCTGCACGTAATTGAAATTATCATTTTTTAACAACTAAGTATATTTATATTTTGTACTAAATATTCGATTTTTGCAACAAAAAAAATTGACAATTTATATACCCAAATTATCAAAATAGCTTGACAGTTAAAAGGAGGCAATTAAAACTTACCTAATTTCATTGCGCTTGACAAGCTCATTTATAGGAAGTACTAAAAATGGCCAAATTGAACACAAAAGCCATACATAATATGGAATATGACTTAAAATGGTGGTAGGTTTAAACTTCATATCAACGTGCAGTGTAATGTCTATCACACTAAACATCAAATGCAGGACAATGCTGGAAAAGAAAAAAAAAAGATTAATTTTTGTTCATAAATAAATAGATTATTTTTATAAAGAGAATTTATACTGAGTGATCCAATGATAATGGGACAAAATTTTGAGGGATGGTTGACCTGTGTTTTTTGTATAACAATGTGGGGTCTAAAGTGATGTGTTGTAAATAAACAAATTTTTTCTCTTGTGACATTTATTGTGTTTGTGCCTAAACACGTCACTTAAGAATCTACATTCTTATACGTAAAATACATGTTTTAGTATACTCAATCAATCCTCTAAGTTTGTGCCACGATTCCTAGAATCCTCCTGGGCAACGAATAAGTTTTACACTATAGTATTTTTTTAATCATGAAAAATATGTGTTTTTGAGACAATTTATTGGTAATGCAGATTAAAAATTTACTTGAACATTTTTATGGTCATTATCAAAAGTCATATTTTGATGGAAGTTTAATATTCTTTTAGCAATCCTAGTTATAAAGTTTTGACTGTCTTCAACTACTATCTTTCCACTTATATGATAGATTTACTACCGTAAAAAAACTAAGGGATTTGCAATTAGTATTTGTGTGGCTCGTTTTCTTAGATACGTTCAGCATTAGAACTGATTTATTTTAAAAAAGTGCAAATGAAAAAAAAAAATCAATAACTTCAATCTTATCTGTATTTGCAAAGATCCTTATTTATTTATTTGACAACAGAGAATGTTCCTTTGAGATTCTTGGTGAGTTCCAACACAAAATTTTTACTATATAGTAATTTTTTATTATTTACTGTTTAGTAAAAATTTATACATAACTTGGATGTTCAATAAAAATAATAAGCATACTTTGAAATATTTAAAACCACAAAAATTGTAATTTATTACCTAAAATAATAAGAAATCCACATTTACATATGACAGGCTGTTAAATTTTTATCAATGTGTAGAGTAATATAGGCTTAATAAATGATAATAACTAAGGTTATAAGTACTGATTTTACAGGAGTTCTCCAATACTTTTCTATAAGGGTGCTTAATTCCTATCAATAAATCAAATTTGGTTTTTGTAAAATTATACACATACTTAAAAAAACTACATGGATTTAGAATCAGCTCATAATGTTTATTTATTTATTTACAAAAATGCAAAATATTTAAACATACATTTTTTTAGATTGAAGATATTTAGTTACGATGTAAACAAATTTTTAAATTTTCTAACTGTATTTGTTTCAAATTTGTCTACTAAAATAATTCCAAGATTTAATTACTTTTAAAAAAATTATAACATTAGATGTTTAGTTAGTAAATTTTAAAAATCATAAATTTTTTTTACTCAAAAGTATTAAGCAATACAACTACATAAAGTAAAATAAAATTGTTGCTGTTTCACTTTGAAGCAGTCAACATTTTATAAATGGTTAACATTCTATAAATTTAATGTATGTGAAGTACTTCACAAATCCTTAAACAAAGAAAATATTACTAAGTTTTAGTAAGAATAAAAAAAAATCTTAGTTTAAAGGGAAATAAAAAAATATCTATACTTCTCTATATAATATTCGAAATATTTATTTTCTATATCTCCTTAGATTAATTCGAAGGCAAACCCTCAATAGTTTTTATAAACCAAATAACAGAGGACTTGATATGATTTTTCTTATTTCATGCATATATTCATTTTTCATGCATTTATTAGAAAATATACATATTTTTTTTAAAAATTTTAATTATAAGAGGGAAATTAGCTTATAAATAAGTTTTAATTGTTTTTTTTATAATAAACTTTGAATGGTGGCAAATTTAAATAAACAAACAGAAGAAAAACATGAGTACAATACTTAAATCTACAAAAGTTTATTATATAAATGTACAGCAAATATAGTTTTAAATTCTAGAAAGAAAAGTAAATATAAAAAAAGTTCTTTTCATCAGGGAAAACTTTACAAAGAATCTAAGAAATTGGGATTTAAATAAACATTGGAATAATGCATAGTAGAAACTAATCAATGAAACAGAAGTATAATTTTAGTACTCATCATTTTTGGATAAAACATGCAAAAAACGTATTCATTATAAAAAAAATTGTGCTCAAAGCAAAAATAGTAAAAGAGAAATAGAAAAAAGAATGCACAAAGCAATGCTCAAAACATGTGTATTAGTTCTTACTCCTATGTTACTGTGTATACTCTTATCAGTAACAAAACTAAAAATAAACTACTGACAACAATTCTGAAATCATGCATATGACCCATTACTCAAAGCCCTGCCTCATTCTTCTTTTTCATGGGTATAAATGTTGTTTGACCCTTCAATTGTTAGTTATCAATTTTATAACTGATAAGAGTTCCAAGAATGTGTTATATGATGACTAAATAAATGGCAGAGGATAATTTATTCCTATTCATCACATGAAGGCAAGACTGAAAAAACTATATTTAATTTTAAAAGTTTCCAAATGGGATTAAAAATCTTAATCTTTTTGGAATTTGGAAATGCTGGACAGTAGACATTGATTTTTCAGTGTAAAAATAAATGTTTCAAACACAGCCATACTTACACAGTGATTGCAGTCAATATCCAATATTTATTCTGGAATGGATTGCTTTTCCATAGGAGATGTGAGCGATGGATGAAACTGATGGATATGAAAACTGGAAACAGAATAAAAATAATATATTACATCTTAGTCATTACAATATGATGTGCATTCATTATTTTTATTTGTTTAGTGATTTTTTTAGCTATCTGAAAATACTTATTCAGATTTAGAAAACTCTTTTATTTATTTAAGACATTTATATGAATGTTTATACATAAGGAATAAGTTTTGTGAAAATTATTTTGCTGAAAATTGTTTAACAGCCTCATTAAATACTAGCATACATTATTTATGTTGCTGTGGATTGCCATTAATTTTTAACTTCTAATATAGATTTTTAACATTGTTCTTTACCATCCTCATCAATGGCTCGACAGCCCAGGGTGGGCCTTGGCCAGAATAACCTTTTTCCTGCTAGTATTTTCCAGTTTTTAAGATCAAAAGGTCTTTTTCTAGGTCATCCATCCATCTCAAACTCGGCCTGCCTCTTTTCGTGTGCCAACTGGTTTGGCATTGAAAACACTTTTTGTGGTACGGTCTTCGTCCATTTTGATAACATGGCCTGACCATTTTATTCTTTGTTGTTTAATAAAGTTAATAATATCAGGTTCATTATATGAGTGATAAAGCTCCAAATTTGTTCTTCTAAGCCACACACTATTTTTTTGAAATTCCTCCAAAAATACTTCTTAAGACCTTTCTCTCAAAGGTACCCAACATAACCTCATCCATACAAGATATGGTCCAGATTTCAAAAGCATATGTTAAAATTGATCTTAAAAGATATTTATATCATAAAACTTTTGTTTTTCAATAAATTAAATTAGATTTTATGTATTTTTGAATTCCTATTTATTGGCCATGGTGATTCTCCTTTGTATTTCCACTGTAATATTGTTCTCGTTGTTGATTACAGAACCCAAGAAAACAAAACTGTCAACAACCTCAAATTTATATTCTTCAATCGTTCTTTATAAGAATTTTAAAAATATATGCTACATTCAATATGTAGTTTTTTATGATACTCCCCCACAAAGGTTAGACAAGGATAAGCTGGTAATTACTTTAAAGAAAAGGGGTTGAAAATAAAAAACACAAATTAAACATTAAAAATTCACTTCAAAATTAATATGAAGTTACAACAATTTAAATTCCTTATAGCTTAACCCTTAATTTATCAAAATACTGCTATTTATTCAGCAGAATAAAAAAAGGCAAATTAATTCCCAATTATACTTTAAGCATTTGAATTTAATTTTTATATTATAATGAATTTATAGCACATTTTGTTTCAACTTCCATCTATAGAAAACTGAAAACCAAGCTAAAAATTACCTAAAAGTTTAAATTCAATTTTATTACAAATAAATAGATAATTTTTCACAAATAAATAGCTAAGATTTTTCAGTTTTTATCCTGTAACATGAAAATTATAATCCCTGTAAGATGAGCTGTACTGATTCAAGGGATATAGCATTCACCTCAAAAGGAGGTGTACCTGCTTTGAATCCTAGCAATGGCTGGATTTAACCTCTGATTTTATTCCTTTACTTACTGAATTTATTCATTACGGGGATGTAAGCAATGACTCTATTAAAACATGAATAATGTATTTTATGTCTAAATTATGCTTTTTAGTTTAAAACATCACAACTGTATGATATGAAATTCAAATACATTGTCTCATATAATAAATATTTTATTGTAATACTTCCAAATAATTTCTGGTACCAGAATGATTTTGTTACCAATTTTCATCTTTGGAAACATTCAAAACTCGTTTTATTATGAAAAACAATAGAAAGCAAAATTGAAAATTAAAAGTATTTTCTCTTCTGTCACATAGACAGAAGAAAACTCTAAAATAAAGAAGTATTTCTGCAAATGAGAAAGACTGGGTACGCATGCAATATTAGTAGTAATGTATTTTATAACAAAATTATTTATATATTAATCTTACTTACCAAAGCAAAGAACTAAAAAGAATGAAAGCACATTTTGGCTTACTGTTAATACAGCAAACCAAGATTCAGCACTAATCTTCTTTTCAGGTTTCCTTCATGAAAATAAGAAGTAATATAGTTAAAAAACAAAACATTTTAAATTAAATAACGTACGTAAAGTAAAATAGAAAATAATTTTTCAATTAGAAATCTTGAGGAAATGAGGCAAGAAAATATGTCCCTCTTGTATGAATTCCATTTATGTGAATTCTAAATATTATTTAAATTCATTTAAATTATTTTAAATATAATTTTTTTTTACATCGTAGCAACCCTGTACACTATATTTATAATCCTTATCATTTACATCCAAAGGAGAATGTAAAAGAAATCGCATCAAGAAAAAAAAACAAAAAAAAACATATTGACTCTGAACACTATTGTTATTAAGTAATAAACATAAAATAAAAAACATAAAGACTAAAAAAACATTTTCCTAATTTTAATTATTTTGGAAATAATAAAGTACTAGTAAAAAAATAAAAGAATAAAAAAAAATGCAGATCCAGTTTAGTTTAGTGGAATACACTGTGAAATAAATTAGGAAATAAAATTTCTTTTAAATCATCTGTTTGGTTCTATTTAACCCTAATTGCTAAAGAACACTATTTTTATTTATGTTATTCACCAAAATATATAGAACATATTAAAAATGTGAAATAAATTCTCAAAAAAAGTAAAAACTCTAGTAAGGAAATAAAAACTACTTTATCATACATCTTGTTACAATCAATTTTAAACAATTAAAAAAAATATTTATTTTAACTCTAACAATCCACTTATATATTGACACTACAATTTTATCTTTTGCATGCAAATTATCTGAGAAAATGAAAGATGCATGTTTACAAAATTTTACGTAAATCAATTAAGAATAAAAATCTTACAAATAATCAATCAGAAAAAGTATTAGCAAATTGAATTGATTGTATTAAATCACACTGATTAATGGTTAAAACAAGCAAAAGCTTTATAAAACTTTAGAGTTTTAGAACCCTGACTAACACATAATTATGATTAAAAATATCGCATCATAAATACAGGGTATCTGCTTGTTTTAGATTTTCAAATCCATGACTTTTCGTGACTAATTCCTAGAATTTTTCATGACTTAAAGAGGTTACTATTTTCTCCGACAAAAACACAACAATAAATTTAAAAAAGCATTATAACAACATTAATTGAAATGATAGGTATAACCAAAACTATTATACTCTGCATCTTTGCATTTATAGATTTTAAACTTAAGAAACAGAGTAAAGAAAGAATTAAAGCAATAAAATAGCTGAAAAAATACAAAAGCAAATTCTGTCAGATATATGTAGTTATTTAAAGCTGTTTTATTTCTTCCTTAAATTAAGTGTAATATAAAAAGCTTAAACTAGAATTTTAAATTGATAAAATAAAAAAATAAATAAATAAATAAAAAAAAATTCTAAAATCACAGAAGTTTAAAAGATAATTCGCTCTAGAAATGTTCTTTCTTTCATTCTTTGAAAGAACACCATAATTTTTAAAGAACAGGATAAAAACATTTTATATTATAATAGAATAATATGAGTGTGAGTGGGGATTTCGCGATAAATTCAGATATTTGGAACATCGGAACACTGTGAAATTGGGAGGAAGGGGTAAATTCCATTTTAAAAATTAGATTTTTAGGCAACCTAAAACCATGATTTTTTCAAAAAAATAGTTAAAATCATGACAAATTTTGTTCAATACCGATATCCATGACTTTCCAGGTGTGCAGATACCCTATAAATAATTGTGATTCTAACAGTATCATTCAAAAAATCTAGGCACTAGAATGCATACTAAAGGCAAAAAAGAACATAAAAGCATTCTTACACTATATCAAGTGTTACCCAACAAACAAGAGCATCACTTTCCAAGTAGATCTTGCAAGCAGTAGACATGACACAAGTAAACATTACAATTGCAATCATCAAAGATGGGCAAAATTTGGCACAATAACAAACAAGGAAGAATAAAATTGCCTGCAAATGATAAAAAATAAAATAAAATAATGATACAATTACACTATTTCATTTTCAAGTCTTACATATTTACATGAAAGTGTTTGCTTTTCTTTGCTCGTTCAAACAAATGTCACAGATAAGTTAAGGAAGGCGGTAATAATTAGTCTCTTTCTTTCCATTTTCCTTTCTGATCAATGAAATAGAATCAAAAAGTATCCAGTTAACAGTTTGTTATAGTTTTGTGTGGGGAGAGTTGATATCGACAATACAACCTTCATTTATGAAAAGGTATCCCAATATAGAATCAAGTTAACATGTCGTAGGGAATTGGAATTGTATTTTCTTAGTGGTAGATACACTACAGTTTCATAAACAAGGTTGTTTCGTAGACAAATACATATTTTATTTAAAGAAAGCATTTTCTTCAACAAGGATGTTTTGTAGACAAGGTGATTATAAAAAAAATGTATTTACGTTTATGATACATTAATTTAGTGCTTTAAGAATCAAGTCCAAGATCAAAATTGTATTGAAATGTCTATACTACACGCTACTTTTCAACTGTACAACAAAAGAAAAACCAGTTTTTAGTTTCAGGAAAGCCACAAAATTTAAGTTTGGAAAAAGCAAAGACTATTATTTCTCAAGGATGTGAAGTGAAAGAGGATGAGTATTAAAGTTTTTTGTTAAAAACATATTGGATTAAATCATTGATCTACAAAACTTGAATTCTTCAGTTGCAATGATTTTAGAATATGCAATTAAAAAAAATCTGATCTTCCATTCACATGTCACTTAAGGTAGTTTTTATCACTTAAGGTTTCTTATCACTTAAGGTAGTTTTTTCCTTCTAGTTTTTTTTATGGAATTTTGTTATTATGACAATTGCAAACTAAGATACTTTGGAAGTTTTTTACTAGAAGAATTTAATCAAATGTAATGTTTTATATTACTTAAAAGAGTTTTTTTTTTACATATTTTGTTTATGAATTTTCATTAATTGTAAACTAAGATACTTTGGAGGTTTTTACTAAATCATTTATAGTATCGCAGCATTTCCCCCCTATTTTGTGCTGAAAATTAATTTTTTTAGACGTTTAGTATTTGGTGACATTTAGAGGGGAAAAAAATTAACAAACTAAAATTTAGGTAACCAGTATTTTTGTCTCCTTTAAAAATTATATAAAAATTTCATTTATTAAAGAATAATATTTATTACATGGTTTTTCCTCTCATAACTTTAATGGATATTTAACTATAATATTAAGGGTAAATATTGGGCCGTGTATAAATGCGGTATATTAAGCAAGAATTTCTTCATTTTAACGCTATTTAACACACTATTATACATATATACCTAGCTACATATAGTGCCATATAGGCCGGGATAGCCCAACTGGTAGGGCACTGGGCCCATACCCAAGAACAGGGTTCGTTGATTTAATTCAGCTTGATTTAAATCACGATTTAAATCATGATTAAAATCAAATGATTCTTTTAAAAAAATCATTGATTAAAATCAACTGATTTTTATATATATATTATATTGATTTTAAAAGTTAAAAAACAGTGCTTTAAATTATTGATAATTTTATTATTTTCATTTCTTAGCTTTAAAATTTATTTTAAATAAATTGCTGCATTAATTAACTTTAGTGAACAAAATTACTTTCTTTCTTGGTGTGTGTCAAACACATTTGAAATTACATGTTTAAAAATCTTCTGATTCTTAACACTGAAAGTACAGATTAAAGTAAATATTTAATGCTGTCTTAATATAGACTTGCATAGCTGTAGAAAGTAAATAAACATGAATTTTTTCAAAAAAGTAAAAAAGCAAATGTTAATTAAAATTCTACCTTTTGATTAAAAAAGCATGGAATTCTAATCTACATTATAGTTTATTGATGGAAATTTCTATATTTCTGAAGCTTGAAGTTATATTAAAAAGAAATTACCTTAATATGCCAAAAATAGAAAGGAAAAAAAAGAAGCTGAGTTCAGATATTTTTTTCCTGATATAGTGTCATTCTTCCCTTTCAAAGTCTATTTGAAGCAGTAGGGTTATTAACTGGTATTTTTTTTGTTCTCATGTTTACGGTATCTTTGAAATTATCAAATTTTCTTTTGTGATAAAAAATTCCAATGAGTCCATAGATTTTTTTAAAATGGTTTTTAGCTTAACTTATGTATTTTGATGAAAAATGAATATTTTAACATAAAAATATATAGATTGAATATTTATTTTTTGATGAATGACAACATTTGTAAACACAATCTGTTGCATTTATTTTGCCATTTTATAAATCACGAGGAAAAAAAAGAGATCACAATTTTAAATTAAAATTATGGTGTGCTAATTGAAACTTTGTATTACTAGTTAAAGTAGTTATCTATTTTATCTTGCCTTTTAATTTCAATCATGCCTTTGTATCAAAATGGTCGCTATGCATTATAACGAAAAATTATTTTAGTAAGTTAGAGCTTCTAAAATATTGCAATAATATAGTTTTAATATTAATTTAATTTTGATTAAACATTTATAAAGTTTTTGTAATCATAAATTAAAGCTCTTATAGTGTATTTGAATAAAAATCAAAAAAATCTGATTTAAATAAAAAAAATCCGATTTAAATCAAAATAATCCGATTGTTTTTCATTTTTTTAAAAAAAAATCACGAACTCTGCCCAAGAGATTGTGGGTTCGATCCCAGCCGGCCGAATACTCCCCGTGTAGTAAATGGTGACTGATGCACGTTAAATCGGTTGAGCCGCAAAAGTCCTCCATGTTCGCATAACAAAACAATACCTCTGGGGGTGCTGATCCAGGAGTTTCCTTGTCTTCAGTATTGGTTCAAATTACAAGGCTACAGAGTTGAACATCAGTAGTCGTAAATTTAAAAATTGGGTCATCTGTTCAACGGCGGTTGTAAAATAAAATATAGTGCCACATTAAGGGCTCCCTAATTGGCCTACATTTATTTCCTTTGGTAAGGTACTATAGTACAGTGAAACCTGCCAAGTTGACCACCCTTGTAAGTTGGGCACCTGCATAAGTTGAGCTCAATTATCAAGAACGGAATTTTTCCTATATAATATAATGAAGCAAAACCTTTGTAGCTTGACCACCTGCCTATCTTGCATGTTGACCACTGAAATAAGTCAATTTTGTCTAGGAGTATTATGAAATTCTATTCTAAAACCCTCATAAGTTGACCAGGAAAAAAAATTCAGAAAATTTTCTGTCATTTTTGCAATGTATGTTAAAATTTCACTTGTTTGGTGAAATAGTGTAAAAAGCTAATCTAAACCCTTTTATGAGTTGACCCTCAGGGGAAACTATAAGGGGTCAGCTTTTGACCATTTCTTTCATCCGTTCATTGAAAACAGGTGTGTTAGTTGAAAAGTTGCTCTTCTAGTTGCAATAGTGAGCATTTGAATAAGTGAATGCTCTGAAATATGCTTTGATCCTTTATTTATGGTCTTTGATCTTTAAGTGTAGTAAAAAATTTTAAAGTGTTCAAATAATTTTATTTTGTTAAAGTTTTCAAATTACATGCTTTCATGTTCTGATATTTTAAGAAATTGTACTTATTAAACACTTCACATGCATAACTAACGAAATAATTTTTTTAGAAAAAATTAGCTAAATATTAGAGTTATATGTATCAAATTGAAGTTCATTCAGGTTTAAACACATTTCTTAAGATATTCATTTGCATATTTTCTGAATAAAATTTTTAAGTCAAGTAAAAAAAAAATTTAAATATATAGCAACATGATATAGGAAACGAAAAAGTAAACAATGACCCACCCCCTCTATAAGTTGACCACTTGTCTAAGTTGACCACTAAAACAATGCACCACAAGTGGTCAACTTACACAAGTTTTACTGTACCTTGTAATATAATACCTGGTCGAGTTTGAATATTATGGATTAATATAGGATGAAATTAAATATGATTCAATTGTGAAAAGTAAGCATGCAATTTTATCACCAGCCACAGACCCTTTCAAATCTTTATGGACCCCTTATTTTGAAAACACATAACTTTGATAATTTTACACCTTTATGTGAGATTTGATGCAGATTAGTGACAATTGAGGGACTCACTTGCTTGTTGGCAACTTTAACGTTTTTTCCTGTGGCCAACATCATGACTTGAGTATCCAGTGGATGCCCCATAAGGGATAGACTGAGCAGAGGAACTTCCAGGCAGATGAGCCACAGCATATGTGAGAGAGGAAGAGCGAGAGGGAGGAAGAAGAGAACAGCTAGAACTTGGAGGAGGGCGATGCTCAAGAGGCAGCAAAGCATGAACTCCAAAGAATTACGTGCACTGCACATAAAATGGCGGGCCTAAAAAACAAAAATTATAAAATTTATCAAATTATGAAAATCTAGTCATAAATATATAGAGAGAGAGTTAAAGAGCAACGACATCCAAAATGACTTGAAAACCTTAAAGATTAGAAATTGGAAGGGAGTTGCTATGGATAGGAGGTGCTGGCATTTGTCAGCTGTTGAGGCAGCCAAGGCCGGCAAGGGGCTGTTGCGCTGACAAAGAAGAAGAAGTTAAACAGCAAAGATCAATTTTGGAAATACCAATGAACTCCATTCTGAAATTATCATTATATTAGTCATAGGGGGCCATTAAAATTTTATATGAGAACAAAATGAGGGATTGTAATTTGCTTATTTTTGCTGACAAGGAGAAGAAGGGGTATGAATAATGCTTATGTAAGAAAGTAAAATCATCTTAATTTTTAAATTTTTTTTTCTAAAAGCAACAAACAAAAATGGTAAAAAAAAATTAGTAAAAAAGGAGATTTAGGAAAATTTCTTACTAAGTTTGGAAAAAGAATAAAAATTTCTTCTATGACTTTTTAAGGTCAAGAATTTAGAACCACAGTTAAGTTTTTGCTATTAAAAAAATTTAGGTACAGTCTAGGTATGTAACAAATATTCAGTTAGCCGGATATTTGGCCAAATATTCAGCTGAATAATCAACAATTATTCAGGTAATTATATAATGGCAAAGTTTTTTTGAAAGAGATCAGTATCATACAATACATTTTAAAAAACTAGAATTTTTTTTGTATTTTTGGTCTTTCAAAAATAATGTAAAAGATTTAAATTAAGTAAATTTTAAAATACTTAAATGTAACGAACTTTTTCATTCAACAGTGCACATTTCTAAATATTAGCTACCTCAGAAAAACATTTATTTTTATACATAATTAATACATTTATAGTAAAATGGTTTTATTTAAAACAATAATTATAAAATTTTTAATTATTTTATAATAATTATTATAAAATAAATATTTACAAAAACTATTATAATAAACTTATAATAGTATTTTTTAAGAAAATAAATTTCTTCACTTTACAAACTTTTTCAGTCTGCTTGCATTCTAGGGGGCAAGATATGTAATATTACAATACTGAATGTCACTTTTCAGAAAAAAATTTACCCAAGGTCTGTTTTTTCAGAAAATTTACCTGTCCATTATTCCCAATTTATAAACAACCCGATAAGGATTATAAGATTTATAAACAACCCGTTATTATTGAATACATAAGAAATAAATAGAATGAATTGGATGGCCCACGTGTTTCGAATGAGTGATGACAGTACAATAAAAAATATGCTGCTTTTTAAACCCAGTGAAACAAGAAAGAGGGGAAGGTCGCGGTTGAGATGGGCTGACTCGGTGGAGTCTGATTTTCTTCCAATTAATGAAAAGAAATGGAGTTCGAAGATAATTAAGAAAAGAATTCAAAATTTTATAAGCAATTAAAAATAATAATATTTCCTATGAAAAAACGCGCAAAGCAGCTGTGAATCCAAAAGAAATTGAAACAGGAGAAACAATGATATATGAAAAATATGGAAAAATAATACAACCAAAGCTGACGTCTTTAGGGGGCACCAGCTCCGGAAGACATAAAAGCAAAACCTTTTCTATCAAGAGAGCACAACATAAGTCTAAAATTGCTCTCTCTGTACCCCAAAGGTTTTGCCAAAGTCCAGACAAAGAATATAATACATAATATAAAATCCATAAAGCTAATACAGAAGAATAAAAACAAGACAAATACATAAGAATAGTACATACAAAAGATTACTTGAAACAAAAATCCAATAAACAGATAACACAACTGACTGTGAGACATAACTAAATTTGATCAAAGATAAATCGGAAGTCATTATGGAGAACTCTTCAGAGGAAGGCATTGGCCCACATTGGGCTGTCTTGCCAACTATGATGATGATGATAATTATCCCCAATTTAAGATCAACATATTGCATAACATTGTGAAACAATGCAAAGTCTGTGAAGCAAAAATTTTTAAAACCAATTTTTTTAACAATATTAACTAATGAGTATTAAAGGAAATGCAAAAATATTACCTCTGTTATCAAATGATATAGACTAATGGGATCCTCTCGGTGGAAGATTATTCCACATGGAAGACTGTTTAAGGCAGAGCTAATGTGGTGAAATGCATTTTGTTCACGTGTTCCATTCATTGATTGCTGAACACACAAGTGAGGTAACAAAGGCTGAATTGCAATGCTGAAAAGAAAATTTTCAAAACAAAATTAGTCTGAAAGAAGAACAGAAAGTTGTAATAGTATTTTTTACCAATAACTTTTTTTTACTTTAATGGCAGGTACTTTCGTTCTTCACCTCGAAAGATGACGGAAGTGTTGCTCATGTTTCTCATTTAACGTTACCCAGTGGGCACCTGTGAACCTCAGTCACGAAGGTTAGCAACATTATCCCCGCCACACTGCCACAAATACCCATTCATAGGGTGGGCCACATTCACACAACAGAGGACAACACATAGAGAGAAGCATCCATGCCCAGAGCGGGATTCGAACCCGCAGCCATTGGCCACCTGGTCGGCTTTTTACCAATAATAAATGAAAAGCTGTGATGGCTCAGGGGATAGAGCGTTCGCCTTTCAATGAGGTGGACCAGGTTCGATTCCCAGCGATGGCTGGTTGATATGAATTCTGCACCTGGCTCATACTTAACACAGTGATGACGAAAAATATCCTCAGTTGTAGACGGATCATGGGTTACAGTCCCCTTTCAGCCAGGCTAACCCATAGGAGGCTGTCTTATCCTTGTAACACAAATGAGGGTTAGTTCTGTCAAAAAGTTCACCACAGAGGCAATTTGTTGCTAATGGTTAATCCAAGAGTTCCCGGGTTTCCTGGATTGGGTTCAAAATTTCAAGGTTACAGAGTTGAAGATTAGTAGTCAAAAACCCAGAATTTTGCCGGCTGTACAAGAACGGCTATAAAATAATATTATTAATAGGGGCTGTGGTGGCTCAGGGGGATAGAGCGCTCGCCTCCCAATCAGATGACACGGGTTCAAATCCCATTGATGGCAGGTTGATTCAAATTCCGCACCCAGCTCACACCAACCACATTGTTGACGTAAAATATCCTTAGCGGTAGACAGATCATGGGTTAGAGTTCCATTTCTGACAGGTTAACCGTGGCTAACTAAAATTACAAGGCTACGGAGTTGAACAGTAGTAGTATAAACCCAAAAATTGGGTCGGCTGTTCAACGATGGTTATAAAATATAAAATAAAATATTATTAAATTCAATAATAACAAACAATTATAATTCTTAAATAATTTTTATGACTTAACAGTTAAGTTTTGAGAATACTTAATAAGCAATGTTTTTTTGCCATTACTTTAGAAGTTTTTTAAAGTAATGAAAAGAATCTAAAATTTTCGATTTTAGTTTTAAATATTTATTTTCGCTTTCATTATTTTCTAAATTAATTTTTAAAGAATGGTTGCTTTTGATGAAGTAACAGGATGAAACCATTTTCCTAAATTCCAATTGGATAAAAAGTTTATCAGTACACGAAACAAATACTACAGATGAAATAAGTTGCACAGCAACGATAGAAGTATCTATATTAGAAGAAAACTTAATACTTTACACATAGATGAACATAGAACAGTTCTTGTTAAAAGTAATACAGTTGATGCCATGCTAAAGCCATATTACTGAAATATAAATTTTTTGTGACTGTGTGCAGCCGTACTTTACTAGAAACATTTAAATGCATGTAAGTTGAAAATGATTTAACTTTACTCAATGAAAAATGCATACGGTAATTTTCTAATCAAGAGAAAAAGTACCTGGCATCAGCTTGAAGAAATATAGGAATATTTTCAGTATTAGCAGAACTTCCAAGACAGCAGACAACCTCTCCGTATTCTTGCATAATGCAGATCATTTCTCGTGTTGCTTCTGCAGTGCAATCAGTAAACAAAGAGACTTGCAGCGGAACATTGTCAACATTCTCAATGTGGGGTCGGATGTTTTCAGTCCCCTTTGGCAGTTTTGCCTAATGTAAAAAAACACAATGTTAAAAAACAAACAATTTACTATAAAAATTAATTAAATGAAATATATGGATGAAATATAAAATGACATAATAGCTGGAAATAAATTTAGACTGTTTTCACAATGTCTGATCATATTAATGCCAGTAAAAGTTCAATTCAATGAATCAGAACCCGGTCTTGTCGCGAGAGCAGAGGTTATCAAAACAACAAAACAGAACAAAGCTACTATTGGACTTAACGCTTATCATTTGTTAGGGTTTGAACCTTTAATAAACATGTAATAAGCTGGATAATAATAAACAATAAATAAGGTTAGTTTAAAAACATAAGAACATTAAGGAGTTGATTTAACAACATGGTAGGTCAATTCTCATTTTGACTAGTGAAGTGAAATTAAGAGTTTGTCTGCAAGAAAACTGAACCAATTTAGAGACCATAGAGGTACCCTATCTCCCCTCACTATCTTATCTTACTTGACTCTCCAATCAGGGTGCGTAGCCAAATCTTTTAACAAAAAATAGGCACCCTTTAAGCACTCAAAAAATATTTTCAACCACTATATACATTAACTAACATTTAAAATAATTTTCAAAGACTTTACATGATCATGATAAAATAACTAGTTTCTGACAAAGAACTCTTTTCCTGATTATACTAGCCATTATAAAATGATCAAGAGATTTTTTCGGTTCAATATCAGAGGGTGGAAAATGAAGCCTGAAATTGAGAATCTCTTGCAAAATGTGGCAGAGTTGCACATGAGAGTGCAATAATCTCACCGAAACCAGCTCAGTAGACGCACACGCAGACTTGAAAGCATTTCATCCAGCATGTAAAATGATTGACGCCTTCACACGCAATGGACTGGCGTTACACTGAAATAGAGTGTGGTTGAATGAATTGTGAAAATGTCGAATAGAACAATGTGAAAAGCACACTTTTGCATAATACGTGGTGAAAATCAACATGGTAAAAAAAAATAATAATAATTTTTGAAAAGGGAAAATTAAGCACTTTTTAAAAACACCCAATGAAAAAAAGCACCTTTAAATGCCTTTAAAAAACGAGAATCGAAAATAAGCACTTTTTAAAAACGTTACGTACCATGCCAATATACTATTTACTGATGTGCAACACTATTAATTTAAGAAGACATACCCTATTAGACATGTCAAATGTAACAGGGGCACTCTGGTCAGTACTTTCGGTTATGTGACTAGATCCCCCCTCTTCACATATCATTATGTCCTGCAGAGAGGATTTCCTGTAGGACTGGTCTTCTAGGGAAATATCTTGAAATAGGCTTTCTGTTCCAAGGTGTGTCCTACGAAAACAGACACAAATCATTGCATACATAAGTAACAGCAAATTCAAAAGCAATCTGTAATTCAAAATCATGGGTATTCAATTTAATGCAACCTTTTTCTTTTACTCCTTAGTTGTAACAGTTTCTTTTAATCAAACAATCAGATCTTTACATACTAGAACTCAATAATTTGAGGGTCTTATCTTAAATATGCTAATTAATTAGTGCAGATGATGCTTTAAGTTATGAAATAAAGCACAAAAACTTACTTCTTTCATGAATGTGACTTTCTGACCCTCAAAATAAGGAGGATTAGTTGCAATATGGGAAATATGGTGCCAATGGTTTAGTTAAAGATTCAAAGGAGCAATATTACTCCTTACTCTTATTAAAATAATTATTAAAATTACTCTTTGCATATCCATGCAAAAAGTAATTTTTAAAAATTATTCTTTTATTATTGAATATAATAGTCAAAAAAGTTTTGAATTGTAAGCTATACACATTTTTACACCATTTTAAATAATGTAATTTTACATGGCAAAATATAAAAATTGAACGAAATCTGCCGAATAGTTCTTGAGAAGTCCAATTTCAAATACAGGCATTTTTTTAAAACTTTTACATCTCAGAAACCATTAGACCAATTTTGTCCAAATTTTTCATTTTTCATACAAGCTTACATTCCTAAAAATTATGTAAAAATTTGAATACCTTACAATTCAAATTTTTATACTATTATTATATATATTAATAAAAAAGTAATAAACAATTATTGAAAACTATTTTCGCATGGAATTATCTTTAGAAAAATTAATATCATAAATGAGTGCAAAAATTTTTCAATTCATTGAAAAAGTTCTCAAGATATAATGAAATAAGAACAAATTAAACTTTACATTTAGTGGTCCAAACTTACGTCTCTTCTTTTGACCGAAGTGTTGGAATCACATTTTCCAAATTGCGAATACCCTCCCCCTCCCATTTTGAGAGTCAGAAATCCAAATCCGCCAAAAAAGGCAAGTTTATTCAGAGAAAGTATGTTTCTTTTTGCCTGATTTTAAAGCTTAAAATAAGCTGGCACAAATTAATTAGCATATTCGAGGTCACTTCTTTAAACCATTAATAATGAATCATAGTAGACGCAAATCTAATCATTAGATCAAAAGTTATTCATCGTGTTCCTTTTTTTGTGCACTTTACAGCATTACAATATGAAATTAAACAACTGTACTACAAAATAAAAGTACTTAAAAAAAATAATAGAACACAATCATTCACTTTTCCAGCAATAATAGCCAAATTAGAATTTTAATTCAAACTAATTACCAGAAAGCTAGAAATTTAATTTCACTTTATGAATCTCAAATAAGAAAAACGGGAGTTTGTGACGCTTTCTGAAGTGAGCTAAACTTTTGAGCCAAAAAGCTACTAATCTTCAGCACATCTTAAGTTTTTACCCTCTAACATCTAAATAACAAATCATATGCCAAACTTAGACTTGAAAAAAATAATTAATCACAGTTTTTTTTCTCATATTGAAAGAGGAATCTTACAAAAAGAGGTTTTCTACTTTATAGAATTAGCTGAGGTATTCTGTTAATCATGTAAGAAGAAAAATTAAGACCACCCTGTTTAGCGTTTTATTTTCCTTTTGATACTAAAGTTTTATTGTTTATTTCTAGTTTCCACAAAGATTGGATTAAGAAAATCATTAAGCGGCCGATTTATTTATTTACATTATTGCTTTCTTGGATTTCAGTAACAAAGCAACAAGAGGTTATGAAAAAGGCCTTTTTTTCAGACAATTTAAAAAACCTATTACTAATAACAAATAGTAATAAATAACGAGAACGCCACATCACCAATGTTAAATTCAATACAGCAAGAAATTTAAAAAAATTATTCCCAAAATAAGGTCAATAATTAATATATACCCTATTTAAACAAAACACTTTTTTTTATAAAACACCAATAAGCTAGCTAGTCACTTTTTCAGCCGCATAATCTTGAGAAATTGAAAAATAGTGATGTTTCAAACACAATCTACAGATTTATATGAAAAAAATATTCCATTTGAAGTTCATACTTGCTTGAAGATATATTATAAAGAGATGTTGAATCTTCACTTTTAGAATGAGTACTTAATTCTTCAGATTTCACTTTATTTGGTTCAAGATTAATCATACTGGGAGCACTCGCATGGCGAATAGGAATCTAAAAACAAATAATGCACTTTAACTGGCAGTATATGTTAATTCAACAAAACCAATTGAAGTCTAGTCAAATGCTATATTTCACATAAAAGAAAATACAGTCAAACCCCGCTATAGTGAACACGGTTTATAGTGATTCAAAAATATATTAAATGCCGGATATAGTGAATAAAATGTTCGCTCCCATGTCTTACTACACTCGTATGTTATTTTTTGTGGATATAGTGAATGAAAAAAAAAGAGAGGAAGTTGGATATTAGGAACTTTTTCATGTCTTCGACTGATTTTCATTTTTTGTAATAATTTTGAAATTTCTACTTCAAAATAAATGCAGATATCGATTTTTAAAATCATCTATAGCATGAAATGTAGCAACAAGCATTTATTCTTGTTTGCTTCATTATTGAATTGGTTCAGCATTCAAAGAAGCTGCTGTCTTCCAGTATGTGGACAAATGTTTAAGTCGAAGCGGATGAATTTGCTAAGCGATTTGGTGGTATTACTTTCGTGTAGGTACTTGAATGGCTGGTTAGACAAGTTTAGAAAGCGGAATAACATAAATTCAGGAAAAATTATCGGAGAGTCGGGAAGTGTTTCCATATCTGATGTTGAGGATTGCTCATAAGCTAAAAAATACTAATTTTTTTTACATGCAAGATGAAGAGTAATAACAAAAAGAAAAGTTAAAACATTTTTTGTTACTACATATTATTTTTCAGTCATTTTTGCAATTGGTGTGGAACCATTAGTTAAAATTGTTTGCTGAACGGATATAGTGAAGTCCCGGTTATAGTGAACCGAAATTTCAGTCCCTTGAAAGTTCATTACAGCGGGGTTTAACCGTACTAACAATCTAAAATATATAATAATATAGAGTATGCAATTATATCAATAATAATATACTTTTATACTTTATCTTTCTTTCCCTTTATAATGCTATTATCTTTAATAATACAGTACAGAACCCGTTATCCGGAAATCAGAAAACTGGAAAACCAAAAGACCGGAACGAAATTCCATAAATTTTCGCGCCATTTTTAAAAAAAAATTTTTTTTTCCTCATAAGATTTTAGGATTTTTTTTTCTTTTTTGAAAGATGTTTACCTTACCATCATTTTGGAAATAATCATTAGTGTATTCCTTCATCGTTTTTTCTTCTTTTTTAAGATTATTTCCAAAACAACACATTTTTTGTTAGGTTTAACAATAAACAAACGGCTTTTTGTAGAGATTCAGAAAACTGGAAAAATCAGTTATCCGGAATAGCGATGGTCCCGATTGTTCCGGATAATCGGTTCCCGACTGTACCTAATTTAAATTTTTTATATACGTTTGTAGCAGTTCAAATCAGTTGATTCAAACAAATTAAAGGTAGATATGAAAAATAATACACATATATACAGTGCATATACTAATCTATTATTTAAAACTACTGTGTATTTCAAAAATGATAAAAAGCAAAAGATGGATTGAAAATAAAATTAATGGGAGAAGACCGAAGTAAGATGTGCAGAATTTTGCATAGGAAAGGAGATCCCTATTCTAAACAAATTTCAAACATTTTACAAAGTTCATCACTGAAAAATATACAATAGTATTTTCAGCTGCTTGCCAAAAAATTCAGAAATATTTACATGGATGACCGTTGACTTTGTCTGGTTATTTTATAAGCAATGCTCAACATTTTTTAGTTATCAGCAACATCTGTTGGAAAACTTTGAAACTAATTTTAAAACTTAATGATAGTAAATTCTCTGGTTTTCTCAGAAGAATGCAGCAATTTAAACTATCTCCTTTGGTAATGGATTTTTTGAATCAAAGGGCTTTTTTGAGACATCCAATAATTAATGTATAAATCTTTACACCAAGTGAAAATGTTAGTTCTTTTAATTGATGATCAGAGTCTCAATATGCATATTGTACAGAGCAAAAAATGTACAGTATTAGAGCATACAAACCTCATTTCGAGAATCAGATGCACATGTTTCTTCTGTAGAGGGAGGAAAAGCATAGTGGCGAGAAAACTTCAATGGAGAAACAAGGGAATTTGGACCATTTTTCTCACTGCAAACAATATAACAAAATTAATTAATAAATTAATCTTAACTCTTCCATGGCTTATGCATCAGCAAATTATACACTTTAACATGGTATGACATAAAAACTTTTAAAAAAGAAAAATAATTAATTTTCTTCTTTTTTCTTTTTCTATTTATCTGATTGATGAAATTGATAAACACTGATGTAATGTAACAACCAAAATTTAGAGAAGTAAGCTTGGCGCAACAGTTTTAATAATTATAGTTATCGCTAATAAAAGACAACAGAAGCTGTTCCTTTTAACTACAAAAATTCTTTACTTCTCAACAGATGTTGGAACTAAATTAGATGTTACACTAAAAAGTAATCTTAACATCAGTGTATTAAAATTTCCCAAATATCATGTGCAAAAAAAAAAAAAAAAACAAATAAACAAACATTTCAACAAATTTATGTTCTAATTTTGTTTAAAAAAACTTGTAAAAGTAACTAAACAATTCTTTCATTTCCCGAACTCTGCTTTTGGGAACAAGCCTCACAATATCAGATAGAAATATTTTGAAGTGCTCCTCCCTTAATTAGATACTTTTTTATAATTATAATAATATTATGAAATAAATATAAGATTATAATTGTTGTTACGCTCACAAATGTATTAAAACACATCAAATTCAAAAATAAAATCTGTTACATAGTGAACATTTTTGAACCTTGTTCATGTAATATAAAGAAATATATGACAAGAGAGGGGTTCAGGGTATAGTGAAGTGTGACACTTGTGTGAAAAAGGAGGGAAGGGGTCAAAAATTTAAAAATAAGGTGACATCATTACGAACCGCTACAAAGATAATAAAAGCAATCTAGTAAAGCTTATTACCATTTATCGTCACTTAGTAAAGAAATATGGCAGTTCCAGCCAGATTCAAGACCCATCTTTTCTGAAAATACCTGAAATGGAAAAATAACATAAGAAAAAAATAAAATATTTAAAAACTCTAAGAACAAAAATATTTTGTTATAGAACACATCTTTCTTTCTGGACATTAAACCACGATCTTTTCTATTAATAGTGTTCTCAGCTTACTATTTCCTTTCGATTTTTTTTTCATCAATTCTTTACAAAAATATCATCATTCCTTTTACTTTTAAGGAAACCTCAGTCATTAAAATTTATTCTTAAGAAAATTTTTACCATTTATTTTATTCCTAAAAAGAGCAATATCATTGATTTTATTCCTAAAAAAAAGCTTTTTATTCACATCACCATACGCATCACCATACCGAAACGCATCACCATACCGTTTCTTTTTTAAAGAAAAAACATTTAACATTCCTTTTGGTTTAAGAACAGCATTTTAATCTTAAAGAAACTATTTCCAAATTTACTTCTTATTTACAGAATAACGAGACAAAAAATTAAAGATGAATGTATACAAAGAAAGTTATTACATCAAAGGCACTATTTCCATTTCATTAAAAACACATACAACGAGCCTTGTTACCGCATGAATAAATCAGTCAACTGGTTTCAGCACAAATGCTTCTTTTATGCTTCTTACAAATGCTTAAGGCTAATGATACCTCTTTATTTAAGTTTTGAAAACAAAAGATTCTTGCACCTATCATTCAGGAATTTTATCCACATTAAAAAAAAGTTAAAAATGTTTTATTTTGAGAATAGTACCTAACTTTTTATTCTAAAGAAAAGGAAGAAAATGATGATTTAACACAGTTTGGGGAGAATGCCTCTAACACCACATTTAATATTTTCACATTTAGTATTTATTCATGAAAATATTGAAACTTGTAGTGTGATGTCAGTCAAAAAAAGGGTTGCAGAAACTGTAGAAGTACAAAATAAAGTGATGAAGATGGTGAAACATAACTACAACATATGCAGAAGGTGTCATAGCTTTTAAAACTATGTGGTACAGAAAAAAAACAGCAATCTATCACCACTGTTGAAAATTTATTACTTTTATTGGGAAGAAAAGAAGTTGTTTAAACCAAAATTTTCTATATGTTTTGAAGAAATAAATATGTTTCTTCTTTTTCTTCTTCTATTAAATAAAAATTTTATTGTTAATTTAATAATTTTCAAATCCATTTTTCATTATTACAAGTCATACTTTTTGAAGTTGCTATTTGATATTTTATGTTGACCTGTATTCTCATACCTATTGTGCCCTATTAAAATGTCACACCTATCATTCACAATGAAAGGTGGTATTGAAAAACGATCAATCATGGTTCTACTGTTCTATGTATTACTTAAAATGGATATCTAACATTTGAAACCTGGCCGCTTATAAACTATGATGACAGTTTATTTAACCAGTTTATTTTTATCAATACTGTTGTCCTATGCGTCCTGTTGTATAAGTCGACCAATTGTATAAATTGACCTGTTGTATAAATCGACCAGTAGTATATATCAACCCATACTATAAGTAGTCCTGTTAAGTTGATCCTCCAATTCTGATTACAAGATAGAAAATTTCTGGTATATCAGGGGCATAAGCAGACTGCTGTCAATAAGTCAATTATTATTACGATAGATGTCATGTGCCAAATGATACTAGATATGACAAAATAGGGATTGAAATATCATTGCAAAATCTTTTAAAAAAGTGTAAAAGTTCTTTATGGTTGCAAAGATGGTGTTTTGTTGGACTCAACAAATGAAAAGTATAATCTATTGTAGAATGAGATTCACACGACAAGACTGTTAACATTAGTGCATCCAACACAGATAATATTGTGGAATCTTTAAATTTGTAGCTTTATGATATGTTTTAAAAGTTTTCATTGCTTCATATTTATGAAATAATCCTGAACAAATTAACTTTTCTTATATATAATTTCAGATTAATTTAAAGTATTAATTTTAATTATTGTTTTTTTTTTAAAAAAAAAAAAACCTTTACGTGTAAAGAAAATTAGATTAGGGAAAAGGGGTAAAATTAATTTCATATAAAATATTAAAAATAATTTTTCAAGTGGGTAAATTGATACAGAGTTATTCATATCCATCTCATTACTTATAATGCATCAATATTTCACAATCAACAGACTTTCATTAATCGAAGGTACTAATTTTCGAAAAAATTTTGGGTTCAAAAAAGTCAACTCATACATCAGGATATATGGTAATTAATTATAGATCTACATAATATATGAAACAATATAAAATATAATCAGGCGTGATTGTGAGTTCAACTAATAATTCCTGAAAATTTCTTGAGTAAAATCATTAATGACACATTTCAAAAAATTAATGTCTTTATAAATTGAAATCATTGATATTTTCAGAACATTAAATTTTAAATAAATTATATACAGCATAATTTAAATGAATGATTATGTATAAGTTTATTTTTATCTTCAATCACATTTATTATTCTACCAGAAAAAATATTTACAAATGAAAGATGCAAAGTATAAATTCTAGTTCCAATATTTTTTAATAAAATATACAAGAATTTTTATACATAAATCTGATTGATGATACATTGAAATTTCTGGACCTAGGATTTCTGGAAACTTCCGAAGCGCGGTTAAGGAAAAATCCGGAAATCCGGATTTTTTCCGGAGCACAATCACCTCTGTATAATTTTATTTTTCAACCAAAATTCAAGGCAAATATACTTTAATGTAACTTAACTTATTTAATTTTAACAAATTATTTATTCCAGGTTTAATTATTATTACCAAAAAATTAAGATTCATACTATTAAAAATACTTACAATCCCTAATGAATAACTGAAACTTTTATTGCACCCTTTTTTCTTTTTTTTAATTAGTACTGTATCACCACATGAATTAAATTCATTCAATCACAAACCCCTATGAATCAGAATCATTCAATGAACATACCCTGCTTCTCAGTTCATTTTCTTTGGAAAAATGTACAAATCGAATGCAAGCCTTATCCAACTGCTCAATCAACCGAACAAAATCCTGAAAATAAAAGATTTTTCATAAACATTCATTGCTTTCAAAAACTTAATAATAATTTTTGCTATTACAGTTTCTTCTTAACTGTTCATTTCTGGTTTAGACAGCAGAAAAAATAATAATCAAAAACGCATCTTAATATACGTAACAATTAACGAAAATAATCGAATTCTTTTGCTGAAAGTTGCAATTCTTATCACTCAAGAAATCCAATATGTTAATTTGTTTGAGCTAATTATAATTAAATTAGATAATTAGACAAAAACAAAATTTTTCTGGATAAAAATGAATTTTCCTTCATGAATTTGTGACTATTAAAGAATAAGAGATATTTAGTAATTATTTTGGATAGTTAAACCAAATATCTAAACCAGAAGAGCTGACTTGAAGCTTAGATCCCCTATGCTATATCTCTAAAGTAAATTTTTGCATTGAGTTTTTGTCTTCCATTTTATATCACTAAAACCTTTTATCATACTCAGAAAATTTTATTGACCGAAGAAAGCCCACTGTAAATTTAAATATTTATAATTATTTATTACTTTTGTTTTCAGAGAAGACAATTTTCACGAAAAAAAAGCTGTGCTAGTTCCAGATCTAACTGAAAAAATTACTCCAAACTCCATAAAAACATAGTGCATACTCCATAAACACATGATTAAATGCCTAATTTAAAAAATTGTCATTTTTTAATTATTCTTTGTCTAATTTAACCTAAATAATTTAAACCAGTTGAAAACCTCGACTCTAAGCTATTCCCCAGTTTACTTAAGCTCTGTCTACTAGAACTAAGTGATCTGAAATATCAATATATTTATTTATTTATTGCTAGAATGATATTCTCACGCTATATCGTAAATACAATAAATGTCAACAATCCTATCAAATAATACCAACACTCGATAGATACCGACGATATCATGACCAAAACTAATTTCTATTAAGAACAGAGAAAAAAATCTTTATCTTCATATAGTGTTTCCTAATTCAAACACAATGACATTTGAACTCTTGGGTGTAGATTTGCTTGGCACTATTTTATGTTTCAAATTGTACTTTTTCTCTTGTTTTTTTTATAATATAGATAAGAAATCAATATTAACTCGAAAAAATACTAATTTGATACTTAAAAATTTGCGATTTTATTTATATATTACCACAAAAATCATGTTCCTTCTGTAGCTCACTTTACATATCTTTAAACTTTTAAAATTTTTCAGTAATTTTTTTAAATTATGACTATTAAAAACATTTTTAGAAAAAAATGTTTTTAATTTTCTTTTAAAAGAAAAAAAATTGTCCAATATAAAGAAAAATATGAATTAGTTACAGTGAAATCTTGATACATAAATCTTGATTGAAAACACATTGAAATCTTGATACATTGTAAATTCTTGATATTTTTTAACAATATTTTGTGATATTAAAAAATTTTATACCACCCATCACTAGGGCCAACATACAATTGACCACCTGTACTTTGAGATCAGCACAAGTGTTTTTACCATGAGTGCAAAAAATTATTTTTAACTCATTCTTTCAAATTTCACAGAATCATCCTTAATTCAATTGCTTCATTATAGATAGTTTTTATATAATAAATAATATTTGCATATTTACACTCTTATATACAGAATGTTTTAAACAGTCTACAATAAATTTTAACAAAAACAGAGAACTTAAAATAACAGAAAAAATCTAACCAACAAGGATTACCAAGGATCAAGGTGCACAGAAAATTAAAATGATACAAAATAAACTTGACAATAACAGACAATGACAATTAATACTCAATGTAATGCGTGCAAACAACAAATACTTAAATTAAAAAAATCAAGCAAATTCAAGCATAAACTTAAGTGTATATATATATATATATATATATATATATATATGTGANAACACAAACAAATATAATATATATGTGTGTGTTTAAATTAACAAACAGAAGATTTGCATTACTTTTGATCTAAACATCAGATTTTCATTTACTATCAGGCTTTTTTAACCATTTGAGGAATTGATTTTAAATATGCTGATTAATTTGAGAACCGAATTAAGTTTCACAATCAGAAACAAAATAGCACTTTCTCTAAAAAAAACCCCTTTTTTTTCCAATTAGATTTGGATTCCAGATTCATAAAATTGTAGTGTAACATCAAACTGGAAAATATGGTTCAAGTAGTTAAATCAGAAGAGCAGTCAAAATTCACATCCTTTAGTGTTAATTTCTCTTATTGAATACTTTGCTATATTTTTGTAATTATTTCAGTGAATCAATAAAGTTTTGAAAATAATTATAAGACTTGCATTCTAAAATAATGCAGTCAAGCAAAAGTTAGTTTTTAATAATTTTTCTTATTTAAAGGAATAATGATCAAACAATGTTCAACTTGTAAAAATGGTACAAATTTTAACAAAATTTTAGTTAATTATAACTGACAAAATCTAAAATGTAAATAAAATTAAATGAATAATTCAAGAAACTAAATTAGCAAGATATTACTTTATTAGAGAGAAAAAAGATGAAAAACAGAACAAGAAAAACCATGTTCTTGTTTCGTTTTTCTTCCCTTTTCTCACTCGGCTACTGTGCTTTTTTAAGTCTTGTTTCTCACCTTAAATTTTCTATTTTTGTTGACAACTTTACGTTTTATACTTAAAATCTCTGTTTTTTTTTCCCAATCATGTCTGGCAAATCTTGAATTTTGGGGGGTTATTTTTTGAAAGCTTGAAACATTCTAATTTGTATATTTTTGAAGTGAATTAAGTTTTTAATCAAGTAAAAGAAATTAGTCAAAAACTTCCCCATAAAAGAAAGTTTTAAAATTCATTAAACTTTTTTTTGATGTGAAAAGAGTTGAGTATTACTGAATTACTGTACTCAAGTAGGTGAACAATGTACTGTAAAAAGATTTTTGCATTCATTAAACTGTGTAAATGCAAACAAAATCGGTCAAACAGTTCTCTAAAAAACAACTCTTTCGAAGTGTATTGTTGATCACTGTACAGTTTTTCCTCAGCAAAAAAGAAATGCATTGGGAGGAATTTCCTGATTGTTAGTGTGTGTGGGAGGAGAGAGGGTCAGTTCATACATTGAAAACACCATACCAATAAAACTAAGACATACAGGACAAGCTTGATACTGCATTGTCACCATTCCAATAAATATTTCATTTCCAAGTTGCTGGAGGCAATTGTTCACACCAATATCTTCCAGTTTCTTTTCCTGATCAGGAAGAATCAGGGAGTCGTTGCTCAGGTATCGATTCATCGAATGCTGCTGCTGGTTGCTGATGTTGCTGCCAACGCCCTCAATACTGGAAGGATCCCAGGAGCTGTTCCCGGAAAGATTAATTGAATATACTTCTTATCAAAATTATTAGATTTTTCACTGTATACTTAGGTTAGTAGTTTAAAAAGTTAAAAATAACCATTTTAAGTTAGCTAAATAAATGTCAAGAAATACCAGTTTAAAAGCACTTTTACTAAACTTACAGTGCCTAGTTAAAAAAACTTTTTCTCTGCTATACTCCTCTAATTATCATTCATGGTTAAAATTTCTTTGGTTAATACAATATAAAAAATTTATTAAACATTAATAATACAATTTTTCTGGTTTCGCTCTAAAATGTCTTCTGTGGCAATTCTTTAATTCAATATTCAGCTTTTTTAAAGTTATTTAAAATTTGAGCACATCAAATAATTTTTTTAATGTGGACATAGAGAGAAAAGTCCAGCAAATATGATGAAAGAATAATTGATAGCAAATAAAAATAAAGCACATTTTTAAGGAATGTACATAAAGGGTAGGGTAATGCATTATTTGTTTTTAATAAAGAGTTTTTATATGCAAGGAAATATTATAAATTTATTTTTTTACATTTATTTGAAATAACTATTATAAATTATCAAAAACTACAATTTATACTGTGAACACACCATCAAGTCATGTTTCCATAAGTGACCATAAAATGTTGGTTATGAGTTTTCTCTTCAATTAGAAACTTTACTATTGGTATTTAAAAGGTTACAATACAGTGATCAAATTTAAAAATCAGAATAAGAAAGTCATTTTTTTAAAGTTATAAATTCCTAAGCTTCTAAAAACTTTATATTTCCTTAAATCTTCTTTTTTTCAGGATAATAACTTTTTTAAAGCTAAATTAAAACTCTAACGTTTGTAAGTCATTCAAAATATCGTAAAAGTGATTCATCCAACTGTATTTATAATCAAAGATTTGATTAGCAAAACTTAGATTTTCAATAAATTATAAAGTAAAATGGGCATTTTTACGTATATTATTTTCTAAGAAAAAAAAAAAAAAAACTAACTGCAAAAATAAATAACAAATAACATTTTAAGAACATTGTTAGTTGTTTTTAGCCTTCAGTGAAATGATATCTCCAGTAGGGGAATGTCATACCAAAATAGGCATAACATACTTCCTACACTATAAAAATTAATTTAATATTTCAGTAATCACTTCTCAATAAATACAATTGCTCATACTTTTTCTCAGTAATTTTAGCATGCAAGCATAATATATTACTAATATATTCTAATAATATATTACTTTAAAAGACATCTTCAACACTCACATAAAAATTCAAACATTAAAAGTCAAGGATAAAATTTTTGCAGCCCAAAGTTTTCCATAAAATCCACCACCACCATCTTCTGAATTCTAAAGTCAAGAAAGGGAAAGAAACTTCGAAAGAAAGAACCTTGGCAATAACAAATTCCATTTTCATTCTTGGTGAAGTGTTTTATAGCATATAAACCACTTAACTTAATAATTTCATAGCAGGCGATGTATGCTATCTCGATTGACACTTCTCTTTAATTGTTAAAATAGGTATTTAGAAATGTTTCCTGGATAAGAATATCTTTTAATTAGTCAACAGAAGTAGATCCTTTCTTTTAGTATTTAGAAAATAAAAGTTTTTTCCTATTAATATTTGCTTCATCAAGAGGTATTTTATTTTCAATATATTATTTTATCCGCAACTTATTTTGCCTCAAACACTGCCAACCAATGACTGCAACATTCTTGGACAGTAAAGACAAAAATTGGCTTCTTTAATTCAAGTCAACGATTTTCTTTTTACCAGCAATAATCTTCTGAATAAGGCAACTTATCCACCTAGTTGCATCCCCACACAAAAAAAAAAAAAAAAAACCAGAATTTAAAAAACTGATTTGCAAAATAAACATCCAATGCATAAATTAAAGAAAAATATTTATGAAATCTGTCAAACACTGAGTTAGAACACAAACAAATATATAATTCCTTAAAAGTAAAAATATTTATCCAGGGTGCATAGCTAATTCTTTCAACAAAAAATAAGCACCTTTTAAGTACTTTTTAAGCACTAAAAATAATATTTTTAAGCACTATATACATTAACAAAATGCAAAATAATTTTCAAAGACTTTACATGATCATAATAAAATAATTAGTTTCTGACAAAAACTCTTTTCTTGATTACATTAGCCATTATAAAATGATCAAGAGATTTTTTGGGTTCGATATCAGAGGGTGGAAAATAATGTCTGGAATTGAGAATATCTAGCAAAATGCAGCAGAGTTGCACATGAGAGTGCAATAATCTCACCGAACGCAGCTCAGCAGACGCACATACGGACTCGCAAGTGTTTCATCATACGTGTAAAATGATTGGCACTTTCATACGCTATGGACTGATGGTACGTCAAAATGGATTGCGGTTCAATGAATAGTGAAAAACGTTTAAAAGAACAATGTGAAAAGATACTTGGTGACATAATACTTGGCGAAAATTGACATGGTAGAGAAAAAAAATATCATTTTCGAAAAGGAAAAATTAAGCACTTTTTAAAACCACCCAATGAAAAAAGCACCTTATAGGGCTTTCAAATAACGAAAATCAAAAATAAGCACCTTTAAGCACTTTTCAAAAACGCTACACATCATGTTATCTATAGTCTCTAAATTATAAATCATTTATCTAATATAGAGAGCATTATTATAGAGTTAAATGAATTTTACCGAGGTGAAGATGAAGAAGCCTCCAAGACTGAGAAAAGATGATACCCTTCTGCTGGAAGCTCAAAGAACCAGTTGGAAAAATCTTTGCTCCGCATAGCATTGCTCAAAGGACTATATGCATAACCCATGCAGTGTGCTGTCAAGCTTGATCTGTGGTAGAAATCTAGAATCCTCTTCCTGAAATCAAGAAAAAAATAATAATGCAACTAAACAAACATGCACAATATGAATAATCAGAAATGATAAGTGCAGTTTTTGTTACAAAATATGATACTGATATGAGAAATTTTGTTAACAAAAATAAAATCAATAAAAAATAGAGTAACGTTCCAAACAATGCAATAGAGGATCTATATAATGCAGTTCTATAAACGTTAATTCTCTATAAGCCACATTAACTTTGTGGGTGTAAAGAATGATAAGCATACTTAAAAAATTTCTGAAACAGAGCAATAACTATTAACAGTTTGCTAAATACAAATTTCCTTCAAATAAGAAATACTTAAGCATGTTTTTAAATTATTCGGACCAAAAAATTATTTTAAAGTATTTAAATATTTATCTTTTCCAGATACATAAATTGCATTTTTTAATGGATGAGCTTAATGATAGGTAAAATAATCTATATAACTATAAAATAATCCATAATCTCTAAATATATATATTTCAAAGTTTTCAATATAAAGACCTTCAACAACATTTTATCTGAATTATTCAAAATCTCAAGGTGTTCTATAATCACAGAGTGTTTCACAAAACTTGTCAATGATGTTAATATCAGATAAAATAAAAATAAATATTTTCAGAATTCTTGTCAAGGTTTGCCAATTGATATTTAAGCAAGCAAGAAACATACACATTGTATAAAACTGATATATCACTATAGAGTAAGGCAAGATTAAAAAGAACAAAACCAGTTAGAAAGACAGGTGACTCTTTAAAATATTTTAAATTATCGTTTCACACTCTCTCTTAGTTTCTTCAAGCAATCAAGAGGGTAAGTCTAAGACAATTGTCCCAGGATCTGCGACTAATAAAAGTCTGGTCAAATTTTCTTACACAAAATGTAAAGATTTTAATTAGATTTTTTTAAAAATATTCCTTTATATATCAACATCAAAACTACAATTTTAAGTAAAAGTTTTTAAAATTTTCTGCAAAATATGAAAATAAGACTTTTTGTGCTTTGAGGAAGAGGGCCACAAAACATTTTGTCCCGCAGATTCTACAGATTTTGATTTATTTTATTTTCCTTGATTTATTTTATTTATTAATTTGTGACTTTTAATATATATACATACCTGCCAACTTTTACGCATTTGGCGTAAAATTTTATTATAATGCATGATTTCTATATATTCTTTGCATTTATAAGCTTAATTTATAATTTTTTTGATCACCACTATTTTTAAAAAAAAATAAGCAATTATGAAAATGTGTAATATTGTCTGTCACTACACATCAGCCCTGTCAAAATACGGCGTAAGTTTCTGCCTAAAATTGAAATCCCATTTTACTACCACTGGTGAAAATCATCCTTGAAAGGATTGAAAGTTGGCAGGTATGTATATATTTACATCATATTTAACAAGAAATTTTAAAAATAAAAATTAAGGGTGGTGAATACAAAACACCATTTCTAGTTTAACTGAAAATAGTAATTAAAATCCTTTCAACATTGGTTTCAACATGCAATGCATCATATAGGAAATTTCTTTAGCAGATACATAAAAATCTGAAATATCAGAGAAGAACTTTTGATATAAAAAAAAAACTATCTAATTTATTTTCATTATTATTCATCATTATGGCAAATTAAGGAAAGATTTTTTTTACAAATTAAAGAAAAAGATCACAAACATAAGAGTCATTATAAAAACAACAACAACAATGAAATAGACTACATGAATCAAACATTATCATATCATTTATCTTTGAAAACTATTTTTTAGAATGAAATTAAGCCTTGGAAAGAATACTACTGAGTATTTTTGAAAGCTTTCCTCAAGAGCTCAAAACCCTTCAAAATAATTATGGAGTTCTTAAAATTTTGACTATTACTATTTATTTATATGAGAATGAAACATTGAAATAGTTATTTCAACTCTAATCCTTTTTAAATTCATAAGACAAACAATTCAAAGTTTGAATGTGTAATAGAAAAGTTGAAAGTGATGTAATATTTAAACCTTAGCTTTCATAGGTCATGAAAGGGAAGTTTTTCTTCTGCGGAATGGTTTTGGAAACTGGATTTGTTTAGCCAAAGGAAGAAAACTCAGCAAATGAGAAAACCTTTCATAAGTTGAGAAGAGATATATTCAAACAAAATAAATTCTTAGACAATCAAAAGTAATTTTAAGTCACATAACAATCATTTTAGTAAAGTAACTGAAAATAAAAAACCTGTCAGATTCAGTGAGAACTCGTATGTCATTGCCATCCCAGTACTCATAGCAAGCATCTAAAACCAAATCAGCAGTGCCTTGAGAAAATAACTGATTGCTACCTGAAAGCAAAAATGTAAGAAATTAACATCATAATTATCGATTTTTTCTGAATAAAAAGAGTGAGATTTTTTTAAAAAAAGTGTGGTTAAAACAAAACCAAGCATACTTTGCAACTCTATTAATACTAATGTTTTGCAAAATTAAATTGATATTACTTTAACAAACTTTGATAAAAAAGAATCTAATTATGCCAAATTTTACATCATATCTACACAAGTCTCTTGGTGGAACTTGTTATTCCCAGAACTAAATGAAATTCTAGTAACACCTTCATAGTAAACGATTTTATGTCAAAAAGTAAAAGCTTATATGTCTGTTGGGCTAATCAGCACCAAAGCAAGACGTTTGGTTCAACTTAGTTGAACAAAAGAAGAAAATCTATAGACTGTTAAAGACAAATTGATATCAAAATTTTTTTTTCTTTACCAACAAAACTCTTTTTAAAGGATTTTTTGCAATTAAGTGATGAGTAACTATATTTATTAATAATGAAAACTAATATTTAACTAGTTAAACTAATAACTGAAACTCATGATCATCTGCTATAGGTTAATACATATTAGTATTCAAAAAATTTTATATTAGGTTTAAAACTCAAATAAATTAAAATCTCCAACTATCGAAATTAAATAATTTCAAGGAATAAAGCTATACTAAACAAAGTTTGATTTAATAGTTTTCTACTCATAGTGCTACTAAACTATATTTACTTTAAGAGCTGCTATTGGCTAAGATCATACACATCATATACTTAAAAAAGAACAAATGAGTTTCTTTTAATAATGCAGAGTAAAATAACTATGAACGTGTGGGGATAGTTATTATCGCCAATGTCAACCTTCATCTAGGAAAAGGTACTCCAACATAGAATCGAGTTAACATGTCTTATATACTAGTGAATTGGAATTGTATTTTTGTAGTGGTAGACACACTACAAACGTATAAATCACAATAAAATGTGATTTGAACATTACTTTGATTTCCATCACGATAAAATGTGAACAGTGATGATAAATGCTTGTGTTTTTAATCAAATTCGAAACTTATAAAACATGCAACTACAATCAGTGAAACAGTAGTCATGACAGATAAGTGTGATTTCTAATTTATATTCGGGAGAACTTCACTTAATAACAAGGTTTGCTTGAAAGTATGGGATAAGAAAGTGTGAGTAACAGTAATGACTGAAGATGAAAGGATTCGCTTTAACAAAAGAAAAAAAAATTATTAACATTTTTACAAAACAAAACACAACTAAAACATATCACACAAAGAGGAATAATGACAAAAAAAAATTGATAAAAGAAAATGATTACCTCTATGGAGATCTTTCACAATCACACAAGACATATTAGGGAATGGCATTTTTAGACGAGGGAAATTGAGTGATTTAGCCAACTTGCCTTTCTGAACAACTTCTGGGTGCTACAAAGAAGAAATATTTAAATTGAAGCTTAAATATAAATATTTTAAATGCATAACAGAATGTACACATTATGGAAATAATAGATTTTCCAAACTTGCGAGCAAGTCTCCTGTTTTATACTTTTCTGAACATGATTATTTCATATCACTTTATTTTATCAAAGTTTATAATAGCTCGCAATAAGTTGATAAGCTTAAATGGAAATTTGTACCTGGAAAAATACAATCTCAAAATACCCAACTTTGATTTTCATTAATCCACAGGATTAAAGTTTGTTTTACTAGTTTTTAAACATTTACAAAAATGTATGAGAGACTTTTTGGCTGCGTAATTATTTTTCAACTTTCTAAAAACTATAAAAAATCAGAGAATTTAAAAAAAAAATGAATGATAAAAAATGAAGAAATCATGGATCAAAAGAAGAATCTTCTGTAAATTATAAAATTTTGAATTAAAACAAAAACATTTTTTTGAATAATCACAGTAATTAAAACAATCACAATTAAGCAGGGGTGATTGTGAGCCCAAGTCAAAATTCCGGAAAATTTCTTGAGTAAAAAAAAAAAAAAAGTTTAAATCGCAAAAAATTTAAACAAGGCTTTTTCATTTTTCTCAATATTTCTTAGTTTACTTAAAATATATTTAAAATTTTACACATACCTATGATGACCTGGAGAAGTAATTGAAATTTACAAACATGTCTTTCTTTTTTGAGTTTATGATTATAATAACTATTTACTGATAGAAAATGAATATTAATCTAGAATATAAGCTTGTAAAGTGTCTTTCTGGCGCTCCCTTACAAACAAATAAAATAAACTGTGTTTTTAAGTTCCACCTTTGAAAATTTGATTTCCAGAAACTTTTGTGATCAAGGATTTTTTGAAACGTCTGAACCTTCGATCTCCGGATCATGGTTAGCGAAAAATCTGGAAGTCCGGATTTTTTCCGGAGCACAATCAGCCCTGATTAAGTAAAAAAGCATGCAATTTAGAAATTATGCCTTTCTCTATCAAACCACACGCTGTTATTGTCAAAACACAACTTATTATCAGATAAATGATATACTTTATTCCCGATTCTGAATTACAGACAATACATGCTCATGTAAGAGACGATGCACTCCAAAAACACAAATAGGCAGAAACACAACAATAATTATTCACACAGGTGAACTTGATAATTATAATTTTAAAAAAATCCAGTAAAAATACAACACATTGCTAGCTTTGAATACTAATATTATTGTAAATAACTCACCACATGTCTAAATATTCCTAGCTGTTGCTCTAATTCATAAAAATCTACAACTGAATCTGAAAATCCTATTTGCTTTGCTAACACACAGAGGCACCTGAAATAATTATAATAAAATAAAATAAAAATTTCATTTTAAATAAATTAATTTGCAAACTAATTAAAATTAATATACAATAAATTAATGTCTAATAAATTTAACTCAGTATACAATAAATAAATAATACAAATAATTACAATAAATTAATTTACAATAAATTAATTTTAATAAATCAATTTACAATAGATTAATTTTAATAAACTAATTCATAATAAATTAATTTTAATGTGTTATTTGTCAAATAATTTTGAAGTTTCTTATATTTAACTAACTATAGCTTCATCTCTTCACTTTTATAATGTATAACCTACTTATAACTCAATATATTTTAATTACAACCTGATTATAACTTTGTGGAAATTATTTTGTTCCATACATAATTCTTTCAATCAATTTTTAGTAGAACAGTTCTCATAATCAGTTTATAACCTAAAATTTTTATTCAAGATTAATTTGACAGCAATTGTTATGATTAATAGGAATATTTTTAAGACTTAAATATTAGAGAAAATTTCAAAATTTGTAAAACATTTTCATTTTAAAAAAAGACAATATAATACCCATAGGGTAAAATGCAGATTTATTTAACGCTGAAATGCTTGCTAACAATTGGTCTATCAAAATATACTTTCAGCAACTCATTCTATAATTAATTATCATTTTACACAAATAAATAAATAATTTTTCATGACAGTTATTCAATATTTTCATTTTCTAATACCTTTTGTTGACTACAGGTACAGCTGCATCATTATACAAAGATTCACACGCTATGTGATCTGAAAACTTTGTGTAATGTTCTTGCATATTTGGATTACATGTATTCAATAAAATTCCCAACCCCTAGAGAAAAAGAAAGAGAAAGCTATTAGTTTAAAAAAGAAATGATTGATTTTTCTTCGATGAAATAATACTCAGAATAGTGTAAAACATTGCTTCAATAAAAAATATTTAATTCAAATATGTTGCAACAAAAACTTTTAATATGTTGGCAAGTAAGAAAATAGTATTTCTGATAAAAACAACTATGGAAATATAATTTGAATAGTAAGAAACTAAAGAGAAATATCCAACTATAAAACAGTCGTTTTGAGCTTTATATGAGCAAAGCTAAATAATGTTTAAAAAAAATAATAATACAGTCGAGCCTTGCCACAGTGAGCCCCCTTTGGATTCAGCAGTAAGTCCACTATAAACAATGGTTTATATACAAATTCATTTAAATAATATGTCTCCGGATTCTGTTTTTGGAACTAGTAATTTCAATGGCATATAATTTCATTTAATTTATTAATTAACTTCATAAGAACAGGGATGAGAGTAGTCAGATAGTAAAAAAGAGGAAATCCAAGAATATATATATAAACAAAAATTTGACAAAAAAGTGCGATTTTTAAACTTGTAAACCATGTGATTATAAATCCCGATATGAGTCTTTTAAATCACGTGAATATGAAACTCAACATCGAATTTAAAAAATGCGAAAATACAAATCATGATGCGTAATTTTTAGAACACGATGCATAATTTTTAAATCGCGCAATATTACAACCGCAAAAACGAACCCACGACATTGGATTTTAAGCTCGCGTAGCTACATAGAGTTTTAAAAGCTCGTAAATACAAATCACGATATTGGTTTTTTAAATCTCGTAAATAAGAATCGCAATGTACAATATTTAAATCGCCTGAATAAGAATCGCAACGTTCAACTTTTAAATCAGGTAAATACGAAAATCGATGTTCGATAATAAAATCACGATTTTAATAAATACAAAACACGATATTGGACTTTTAAATCTCGTAAATATGAGTCATAATGTACGATATTTAAAAGGCGTAAATAATAATTGCAATGCGCAACTTTTAAATCAGGTAAATACGAAAATCGATGATTGATATTAAAATCGCGTGAATAAAAATCGAGATATTTGCAGAGTCTGAATTTGGGATTTCTAAAAGGCTTGTTCGTATTGTTTTTTGTTTAGACATAATAAATAAAAATTTACAAGATTAATTGAATGAGCATGTAAATATTTTCACCGCAAATCCACCTCTATTTTTTTTCTCTTTTTTTGTTTGCTTTCACTCCAAAATACAAGAAGCAGCGACGTCTGAATTACGAAAACACAAACTATCCCGCCGACGGATAAAAAATACGGAAAATCTTATTTTCTGTGCTTGAAATCGGAGAAATTAGAAAATATAAGTAAAAATGCGGAAGTGTTAGCAGCTAGGACGTAGTTTGAATTTTCTGTTTTTCTTTGAAAATCGTAAATTAGTATAATTATTTTACTTTAACAACTGAATTTTCAAAAAAAAAAAAAGCGGGATACTTATATAAAAAAATTTAAAAAAAAACGAAACTTTTAGAGAATCGGAGTTTTTAATAAAAAGGCTGAAATTCGAGAGACAAAAGCGAAAAAAATCTCATCCCTGTATTAAGGTCAACCAGTTTTATCCCAAGGAAATGATTTTTAGAGAAACTTCAGAGGGAGGAATGAGCAGTTCAATAATTTCGCTCTGCGGAAAATTAAATTCCTCATAAAATATTTTAACTTGAGCAAAAAAAAAAAAAAAAAAAAAANAAAAAAAAAAAAAAAAAAAAAAAAAAAAAAAAAAAAAAAAAAAAAAAAAATCCAGCGGAAATTAGGTGAAAAAATGGAAAAATCTGAAAAAAGGCGGAAATCCGCGGAAGAATCTAATCCCTGTAAGAAGTCCCCAAAAACATTGAAATTCCATAATAACAAATAACAACCTATAGTGAAATTTCAATCGGAGAGTTAAGTAACATGTAAAATATTCTCCATTTAACATAGTATTTGTCTCGCTAAAACAAATTTTTCGGTCACTTATCTTCTCTGATTTTTGACGTATTTTACAAAAGAGAATTCCAAATTATGGATTCTAAATCCTTTATGATAAGTATTACATTATTTTGAATTAAAAGTCACAATTATATATTTCGGAACTTATTGCACCGACTAAAAATTTCGTAATATTTATTTTAAAGGATTGCTAAAAGTAAATTGATACCACTATTAGAATTTAAAAAGAAGTAAACAATGAAAAAATGAATAAATATGACAACCGAAGCTGACGTCGTCAGGGCGTACCAGCCCCTGAAGTCATAAATGCAAAACCTTTTTGATCGAGAGAGCACCACAAATGTCTAAATTGCTCTCTGTGTACACCAAAGGTTTTGCCAAAAGTACAGGTAGAGAGAAATAAAATACAAATTACAAAAAACATATACAAAAGTATAATACTTAAACTAATACAAAAGAAATCAATGTTCAAAAACTTACTTAAAAATAATAAAAGATTAATAAAATAATTAATCTGGAAAGAAAGAGTTTTCCTTTTAATTTCTGTAATATTGAATTTAAAATTAAAAATATTATTAAAAATTATTAGTTCTGTTTTCTTTTAATAGGGCATGATCGAGTCTTAGCTGAGTTGCCCCAGTCAAGCATTTCTAGTAATAATGGCAATTGTTTTCTTGATCCTTTTTTCTTCCTCCTGCGCATTAAATTAGGGGGCGTTGTTTTTTTCTTTTTTTTTTGTAAATTTCAACTTAGTTGAGGACTTGTAGTCTGTTCTGTTCTTCGGTTTCGGATTTATTATTATTTATTACTATATCGGTTTCAATTTTCTTACAAAATTTCTTTTGCGTAGTGCGTTTTTCCACTGGAAATGTAGTTTCTAATTGCTTTTTTAATATTTTCGATTTCTCTTCTTCTATTTATACCACTATAAAGGAACTATCAATTTCTCAGTACTTCACTATAAGCATATTAAACAACATCAGTTAAATAGCATCTTAAAAACAGTACACTACAACTACATGTTTAATACTTATGGGTGCAAGCTTAAACATAAAAAATCTACATCAGTGTCTGAACACGGAAATAGTTCTTTATTACAGAACCAAAACAATTATATATTGTAAGTTACTCTATGAACTTTGTAACGTTATTTAGCTTTAATCAAGAACTACAGCTAAATGCAGCATTAAAGAAAAAATAAATAAAATTTTACATGGAGTTGATACATACTAATGGTTTTAAGTTTCCGAGAAAGAGTTTCCAGTTGGGATCATCAAACTGAATACCAAATGGGCTGTGCAGATTGTGGGTCAAATCTAATACCTCAACCTGGCTGCCTGGATGATAAACTAGTAAAAAAAAATTAAATGGCTTATACTTCCATACATAGGTTTAAATTTAAAAATTAACTAAAAGACTTCACATTGACCATGTCACAGGAATAAGTGATTACTGAATAAAAGAGCTTCTGGCAAATACATTGATCAGTCAGATTTTTAAAGCATTCCAATAAAAAAATTTTAAGAGCAGTTTTGATGATAACTTTATGATTTTTGCATAAACGACAAGTTTTTTTGGTATATTTTGCGGCGAATCAAAGATAAATCAAAATTCCTATTGTGTATCTATCTGAAACTAATACAAAGGGACAGATTGGCTAAAAATGTTGGTTAAGAAAAAAATATGGCTTGATGTGATACATAGTCCCAAGTACATCACTTCATATAAGCATCCCAAGAGACTTCATCCAAGCTGTTTCTTGTCGTATATTCTGCTAAAAACAAAAATCACTTTATGTCAAAAACTACTAGTCATTTAGTTCCTCCTTTAAACTTTTGGAAATATTTTACTGATAAAAACAAGACAACAACAATAATATTTAGTTGCACACATTAAATTTGTGCAATGGCTAATATAAATGTGGCTGCAAAATTTCCTATGAAACAAATTTCAAAATTAATTTCAGTTTTTGAATAATTATAACATCCTGAGAAATGTTGAAATGAAAAACATATACATTCAATATATATATTTAATATTTATTTTGTTTCCTGTCATAGGTATTAGATAGAAAGCATTTTTTTAGAATCAAAATTTGAGAAAAAGATTTTTTAAAGGAAGAAAAATAATTCGAGAATTTGGAGATATCAAAGTAATTTATTTTTAGCCAATCACTATTTATTAGAAAATTCAACAGACAGGAAGGAAGGAGAAGAAAATGAGTGAATTTTATATCTATTATCTGCACACTGAATACATTTTTATGTTTTGAGAATGCCTATAAACATGCAAATAAAAGGATAAATTTACTTGAGAAACTCAGTTTGCTAGCATTATTCTGTTGTATATATTTTAAGCTAATTCGAAAATCTGGTATTTAGAGAACTACCTACCTCTTTCTTTAGTCTCATCGCAACATAACATTGGCAGTTTGCAAAAAACTAGATTTTTAAATTAGCCCATGACATATACATCTTTTCAGTCATCCTACACATGCTTTAAATCACACAAAATATGATTTAAATTGCTTTTTTAACTTTACATTCATCACTAACAAAAAAGAATACCTGTGGTTTTTAGAGAAAAAAAGCAATTAATAGTTAAGTGCTATTAATCAGCTAAGTTGGTGACTAGGAAAATTAAAAAAAACTCATTTTGACATCAAAATAATTGTTATAATAAGTTTTACATACATACTTATTATCCAATTACATGATATTAGTAATTACATACTTAGTTTATCTATCTTAACTACAAACAGCAAGATACATTCACAAAAATTGAATCATTTTTCAAAGTCATTCAAAGTCATTTTTAAAATTACAGTCAATTTTTACAGGTGCATCCTTTTTTTTTCTCTTACTTTTGCTTGTGGCAAGGATATAATATTCTTAGTTTTGCTTTCTTTTAATAAGTTTCAAAAGTTATATTTTTGAAAGAGAGAGAGAAAAATAAGGCAGATGTGATAATTTTTTGAGGTGATAAATTCTAATATAATGATGGTATAAAGTTAGGTAGGCAAATTTTTGCTTTTATTTTTATAAACTAAAATAACTAAAATTTTCGTTTGACTCACTATGATCTTTAACATCCAATCTTTTATTCATTTTGGTGAATCTTTTAATCTCCAATACTTGTTCATTGAGAGGCTGTAATTCTTCTGATGATTCTTGATCAGCATTTTCACACATTTGGGTGCTGTCTTCTGAGTTCGACTTGCTTTTCGGAGACTTCAGGAAGAAAACTTTTTCAGCTGTAGGATTAGGCCAAGACAGAATTCCCTTTTTATCCACACAGCAGAGAGCCTAATGTAGGAAGATATATTTTTTATGAAATACTATAAAAGTCTGCTTTAATGACCATTTGTAATAGCATATCAATTTGCTGTTATAGTGAGCTTGTCGCTATTAGCAAGTACACATATTTAATATCTAAATAGCAATAAATATTTATTTAAATAGAAAATGAAATAGTTATATCATAGCTGCCAACATGGAAAGGAAAAAAATCCAGTAGATTTCACTAACTAACAGAAATTGCATAATAATTGTTGCATAATGCACTAAATATTTTACACAATTTTAGGGATTTTTATAGTTATTAAAATAGAAAAACTGCAATAATTTCTAATTATGATTAACATTAAATGAACTTGAAATCTTATGTATTATATTGACTCATAATTTCGAATATTAATAGACATTTAATTTATTTAAACATAGTTAAAAAATTTTTAAAATTTATTTTAAAACAGAGTTTTGATTAAAAACAAATTAAACATTTTAGAACAAAAAAAGTTTTGAACTGATTTCTATAAATGAGATACACTTCATTATGTATTAGTAATACTTATTTAAATATCTAAGCAAGCAAAAATCTGTACAAAAATTCCATTTCAATAAAGATTTTTTTAAAAGGAAACTTACTCAATTTTAGAGATTTGTCAAAAAAGTACAAAAACCAGAAGAATTTAAATTCAACCAGTAGACCAGGAGAAACTGACAAAATCGAGTAGTCTACTGGAAAATCCAGTAGAGCTCGCAGCTATGTTATATTTATCTTTTTCTAAATTTTATTTTATTTTGAACAACTATTTTGATTCAAAATACCTATCTAGAGCAGAATGCTTTTGTTACAGATTATAGATTGAATAACGTAGCCTTGTACTTAGAAGGCAGAAATGTCTGGGACAGGAACGTTTGAACAATAAGTTTTAAAATCGTAACAAGTTTGTGCAAGAAGAATATGAAATGAAGGGCAATATCTTTGAACATCATTAATAACATGTTGATTTAAATAGTAAATAGGGAAACTAAGGATTGTAAAGTTATAGTTTGTGGAGAAAGACCATTAGACAATGCCATCCTTCATCTATCAAAAGGTACCTCAAGATTAAATCAAGTTAGCATGTATTATATACTAGTGAATTGATGCTTAATGATCGTAGTGGTAGTTAGGCCACAATACACCCCCACCAGAATTTTATCAGGGATGAAATTCCATGAACGGATACCACTAGTTGCTGTATTTGTGAAAGACCGGGAGAGCTGGATTAAGGTCACCGGGTTTTGAGCTTTAGCCATGAGAGCTGTAATAAGTTCATGGTTGGGCATGAGGACTCTCCTGTGTTATTATGAGTCGAGTGTGGATACCGTTGTGTATAAATGTGACTGAGAAGCAAACGGTGCGAGGAGGACGATGACGCAGTCAGAAATAGAAAGTCAGCTGTTCATTCTGGGCCATCCATTGAAGTAGTCGTGATCAGATCACCAATGTGGGGAAAGACCATTAGAAAATGCCAACTTATTCATCTATCAAAAGGTACCTCAAGATACAATAAACTTGATAGATACAAAAATAAAAATAGATAGAAAACCAAAAATAGGTACAAAATGAAAAAAAATCTTACTGTTATGCTACCAAGTACTTGAAGAAGATTGGCAGATCTCCAAAGATATCCTCCAGTTCCGAAAAGAAGGCAGCAAATGAGGCTTTTTAAGTCAGTCCACTTAACACAGCTTTCTATGACAGATGGTACCTCCGTCTCTTCCATCTCATCAAATGGATCGAGCGGCTTCTAAAGAATTCAATTCAGTTTCAAATTTAGCATAGTAAAAAGAATATCCTAAAAAATATATTTTATCTCACAATAAAAACTGAAAGAAACTATACAGCGACTTACTACTAATAGTACTTATAGTATTAATCAGTACACAGGATCTATTGATTAATACAATTAAATATATAATATCAAAAATATATAATACAATCGATTATAATATTTAATAATGTTAATAAAAATTTACAGTATGTAAGGCTGTAAGGCCCTCCTTGAGGTACATCCATGTACACCCTTATCTCAGCGGTTCCCAATTTTTTTTGGGCCGCAGAACCGTAAATAAACGATCTTCTTTTGGTGGAACCCTTACTTTGTAAATGAAGTATAAAAAGACAATTATGAACTTATTAACCAATATATATTGAAAATATTTAATAAGAGGATTGAATTTTTTCTCTCGTTATACTGTTATGTTTAGGTTATGTATTTTAAATTATGCTTCATGCCCCGACAGTTGAATTCACAGTCTAGAAGCTGAATGTACTCTAGTAATGAATTTGTTTATAGTGTATATGTACAAGGGTAACTATGGTTTTTGTTGAAATGAAAACTTAAAAGAACTTCTATAATGCTTAAAAATGGTTATTAAGGAAACATATTTTCTTATTAACGAATTTAATTACTTTTATTATGATTTGAAAAGCTCAATGGAAAACGTTAACGTAATTATTAAAAAATAAATGATTTCCATAATTAATTTCGATTCCATTTACTGTCATTAAAAAATCATATATTCTTTTAAAAAAATATTACCCTCAACTTTTCATTGGTATTTTACATTAATAATTTCATGAACACAACCGATACACTAAATGAATAATAAATAGGTTTTTAACAGGGTCTAAATGTATTCGTTAATAATTTCTTCAAGTTTCAAAGTTGTCAAAAAAATTCCTAACCATCAGAACCCATATAAGCCTTCAGCGGAACCCTAGAATTCAGCGAAACACCATTTGAAAACTGCTGTCCTAGTTAACACTAAATCCACTACGATTGCAGAATGCAGAGCCATGGCAGGCCAGGGAGAAATTTCAAGATCTCTACAGTCTGTTTGCTTAGTCATTTCAGTTTGTTTAAAGTTCTTTGTTCTTCATGTGATTGTGCATGTGTTACATGTGCTGACTACATACTTATTTAAGTACACCTTTCCCACATGACGGTGTGCATAAGACAAACACATTGTATAATTTATAAAAAATACCTTTATTACTCTCTTTGTTCCACAGCTAAAATTTCTTTGCATATCAGTCGAATGAAACGTACAATACGAAAACTAAAAAACGGAACATTTTAATATCTTTAAATCTAACGACAGAATTTTCACACTGACTTGCAATCTTTGTGGTTTGACCTCAAGTATGCTAATTAATATGGGTTGATGATAATTTAGGTTAGAGAATCAGACAGGAAAAACACACTCTTTCTGAATAAGCATACATTTCGTAGTTGGTTTCAGAGCTTTGACCATCAAAATATTGAATATTGGGGTCTGTGGGGACAGTAGTTATCGACCATGTCAACCTTCATCCATGAAAAGGTACCCCAACATAGAATCGAGTTAACATGTCTTATATACTAGTGAACTGGAATAGTATATTTGTAGTGATAGATACACTACAGTACTCCGCCACCACACCAGAATTATATCTGTGACAGAATTCGATGAACTGATATCACTAGTTGATTCATTGCTGTTTTGCGAGAAACCGGGAGAGCTGTATTAAAATCACCGTGCATTTTGATAACCATGAGAGCTGTATTAATTTCACGGTCGTGGTTGCTCCTGTGTTGCCATTAGCAGTCGAGTGTATGCAGGCTGACGTTGTGTTTGATTGAGACTGAGTAGCAACAGCGGGAGGAGGTGGATAATGTCGTGGTCACAAGTAGCAAGTCAACTGTTCAATGTGGACAATCCTTCGAAGTAGGCTTGTTCAAATAGAAGTGCGAATTTCTGCCAAGGTAGGCGTGTTTACATCACGTCCGGGTCACCAATGTGGGGACAGTAGTTATCAACCACGTTAACCTTCATCTATGAAAAAGGTACCCCAACATAGAATCGAGTTAACATATCTTATATACTAGTGAACTGGAATAGTATATTTGTAGTGGTAGATACACTACAGGGTTCAAAACAGTTGAGTCAGGTGAGCGGCCGAACGTTTGGCTACATTAATGTTAATTTCTTCGCAAGTTTCTAGATGTCTTTGGAGCGAATCAAAAAAGCTTACATACGATTATTAATTGTAAATTAATTTATCTAAAGATAATTTCATGAAAAATACAGGTACATATATAAGTTCCTTGTAAATTTTTTTCTTATTTATTTTAATAATGATCAAAAAGTTTTTGAATACAAATTTTCGCATCACTTTAAAATATGTAATTTTTAATGACAAAATTCAAAATTTCAAATATAGTTCTTCAGAAATGAATATTTACGAAAATCGATTTTTAAAAATATGAAAGTTGAAATCTTATTACTCTGATACTATTCGATCGATTCAAATGAAATTTTGGAGTTCATCTAAAATTTTACAGTTTAAAATGATGTTAAGCTTTGTGTACTTTACTACTCACATTTTTTTGATTATTATTAAATAATAAGAAATGATAAATACTTTTATTTATTAAAAAAAAAAATTCCGTGAAATTATCTTTGGATAAACGAGTCTTATTTAGTGAGCTAAATTTCTAGATTCATATAAATAATTCTAGAGATACTGAAATATAACTACGTAAAGTTAACATAAGAGGGCTCAAATTTTCAAGCAGAAGCATATTTTTTTAGAATGCTTTTCTAACCCATACTTGGATAATCGAAAATTCGAATTGGAAATCCCATATTGGGATAAACTAAATCCGTCACAAAAAAAAAGAAGCTATGTTTAAATAGAAAAAGTACGTTTTTATATATTATTCCCTATCTTAAAAAATCATCTGCGCAAATTAGTTAACATATTACATCAGGTTAGACAATAAAGAGTGAATGTTACTACATGATAATTCAATAACATAACTGCCAACATGGATACGAAAAAATCCAGTACATTAGGGGTGCACAACCTGCGGCCCGCCGACAATTGAAGTGCGGCCCGTAGAGCTTCTAAACACAATAAAAATTTAACAAAAATTTTAAAAAAATGTCAAAATTTTTTAATCGCACTTTTGAGTCATCACGTTTTGACACGATCAATTTTAACAGATTCTATAGTAAATGTATGTTTAACGCGCTTTCTTTAAGCCGATTTTATGGAAAATATAAATGCTTTTTTAAACAGTTATTTCAGCTTTTCCACATGATTTCGAAAATCCAGAATTTTTATTACGATATTATTACGACACGCGAGTTTCAGATCGACATTTAAATAATCACTTTTTGGTGCAATTTATTTGTGATGTTTTCATTATAAATCTAAGTGATTTTTTCTATCTTTTCTTTTTTGCAATTCTTTCTTCTTTTTTTTTCCAACTATTTTTTTCGGCAGTTACTGCTATGCATTCCCACGTACTGAAAAAAATTTCGATAATTTTATTACGACATGCGAATTTTCAATTGCGTATTTGACACGCTTTATTCGTGCCGAGTTCAGCATATATTCATTAGTTCAGCAGTCATTGTTCAGCTTTCATCATCATCAGTTAAGCATTCATCATCAGCAGTTCAGCATTCATCATCATCAGTTCAGCATTCATCAGTTCATACATTCATCAGTTCAGCATATTTTTTTTTTCAATTTTTGCTATACTTTTCCACGTGATTTTGACGATCCCGTTATTTAACTACAATGTTATTACGAAACGCGAATTTTTCAAACACGCATTTAAATAATCACATTTTGATACGGTATTCCGGTACAGTTTTATTGTAAATCTTAGTTACTTTTCCTTCGCTTTTTCGGCAATGAATACGATTGGGTCGAATGTGGTGATGAATTGTGATTTGGGTCGAAAATCGAATATTCGAAAGAAAAAAAATCGACCAAATACCATTTTTCGGGATCATTTTTTAGCAGCATAGCTACACTCAAACCAAAATTTCAATGCTTAGAATAATATTTTCTGGAAAAACGTATTCATAAATCAATTTGCATTCAACCATTTGACATGATTGCAAAGCAGCAAATCTTTATTTCCTTCAAATAAATTGCACCAGCTGCATTTCAAAAAGCCAACACTTTCCATCTCTTATTTTAATGATAAATTTCACCACAAGTTTGAAATCTTTAACACCGTTCATATATTTTCCACACAATCTTCAGTAATCTTTACGTAATCCACGTAATCTTTCCCACACAAAGCTCCCCGATGAATTATCGGATTTTTTATCTTCTCTAAGCGATCTAGTATATTTTAATAAATGGTACATCCCCTAGGAAAATTTTCGTGGGCTAATTTTGTGGCTTTCGTTTTTACGCTGATTTTCATGGTAACGGAGAAAAATATACGATTGAAATCCAAATAGATTTTCAGGAAAATTTTATCACAATAAAATAACAATCTTTTTAATTATTAATATTTCGGTTCGCAGGTCACCAAAAAAAAAAGGCATCGTCGGCTGCCAAAGGAATCACTGGTCATCGGATGCAGTGCGAATGGACCCTATAGGCTAACTGGATGGTGGAAGTGTCCACTTTATGAGAACATATGAAAGCTAATTTATTTTATACCTTATTTTATAACCGTCGTTGAAAAACCGACCCAATTTTGGATTTACGACCACTGATGTTTACCTCCGTATATAGCCTAGTGATTTTGAACTAATCCAGAAGCCAAGGAAACTCCTGGATCAGTACCCCCAGAGCAATGATTTGGTATGGGAACATGGGGGACTTAATGACTCATCAGATTTAAAGCGCATCAGTCACCTTCTACTACAAGGGTCTACTATATACAAAATCATTTAAGCTAATGAGGATAGTAATCTCCATTCAAATCAACAATGATCTGCCAGCGTTTTA